ACGTACTGCTTTTTTACTACTTTTAGCTCATAAACTGTTAAGTATTGGTCAGAATATTATCCTTTTCTGCGCTCAAAATGAATTGTGCCAACGTATGTCCACAATGCAATAATTCTATGTGAATAATGCGACGCTTTGCTAACTTTAAGTTCATACATAGTCGCGTGCTGAGATTACATTTCTTAAATATAAACAATCGATATATATTTTTACGTTTTATGGATTCATATCATCATATACTCCGATTCGAATGATTAAAATCCTCGTAAATACTTCTTGAATGATGTCGTTTTGCGCGATTCAATAATGCCAGACCCATAGATACCATTCCATAATATTTCCATCAGTAGTAACTCAAACTAATGATAAAAAAAATTTCGTCCATATATAGAAAAATAAACGAAATGAACTAAAGGAAACAATTTGGATCGGAGAAGAGAAGAAGCAACAATAATTAAATGAAACTGGAAACTCATAATACAGCGTCATCGATATTATTATGTCTTCATATTTATAAAGATACAAATTGGCTCTCCTTGATGATGATAATATAACGCATTTCTTCTTTTTTTCATAAAAAAGATTTGAGAATTGGATCTCACAAAGGGTTTCAAAAGAGGACGGTTTGTACAAAATTCTCCATGGTTGATATATGATCAGAAACGGCGGCTCCCGCCGCCGGCCGCGGCGGCGATGGAGGGGAAGCTGGAGAAGGAAACGCCCATGGGGACGGCGAGGCTGGTCTCCATCATGAGCCGCTGCTGGTAAGCCTCGATGGTGGCGCCGGCCTCGATGATGTCCTTCACCAGCCCCCGGTAGTACTCCTTCAGCCGCTTGAACAGCTGCGAGTGGCGGAGCTTCAGCCAACGCAGCCGCACGCGCCGCAGCATTCGCGTCAGGGAGAGGCGGCGCGGGGTGCGCGGGCCGAGGCGGACGGTGGGGAGGTGGCGGCGGCGGCGGTGGTGGGGGAGGAGGCGGTGGAGGCGCGGGCGCCGGGGGAGGAGGATCGGTGTGATGTAGGGAGATGATGATGGCGGTGGCGGTGGTTTCTTGGCGGCGGCGGAGGAGGGAGAAGCCATGTGAAGGTCGTGGAGGGAGAGAAAGGGGGGAGAAATGTTTTTGCATATAATGAAGAGATGGAATGGGGGAGTTGACCTAATATATGGATGGTATCTGAAGGCATCCTCTCTTGTTCTAGTTTAATATTTATTTTTCTTTTTATATATATAATATGTGTAATGACTGGTGTACGTCAGGCGTATACTATACGTCGGGTGATCAAGCCGTTAGATGTACTTAGATGAGCTCCGGCCGATCTCAACGGTTAATTTTTGTTTTTCATTAAATCTAACTTTGGGTTGGGGTTTAGAAAATCGGTGTCTGGGGTTTATCCATTAGAGGTTAGAGTATAGTATCATACCCCCAACTCGATTTAATTCATGGTCTAGATAGAGATATCTCACTAGTAGTACCTGACGTATATACTATACGCCTGATGTACCCAATCTGACCTATGTAATGTAATGAGGTAATGGAGTTTGAGATCGTGTGTATAAACTTAGCGACGGATAGAAAAATATATTCCTTATTCATGTTACGATTCTCATCTCTTTCGATGAATTCAACTAAGAAAGAAAATCACCCATTGTATAGAGCTAATTAACGTAGATAAGTTTTGGTTAGCGCTAAAGTTAGGTGAAAGTAATTGAGGCCTACGGTAAATTTTAGGTCCCTATAACTAAACTTGACACCAAACTTAAACTTAAATATTCTTTTATTGAGTTCCGTAGGGAGTTAGATAGTGAAGGGTGGGGGTGGGCAAAGATTTGGTTTACATTGAACTAAATTGTGTCAAATTGATACTTGGGTCGAATCAAATCGGATGGAATATGTTACGATTCAGTTTTTTTATCTTACAAATTATCTTAAATATGAAGGAAAAGTGGATCGAAATTAAATACGAATTAAAATAAGTCGAACCAAATTAATCGAATCATACATACTTTTGATCCGATTATTATTTTCAATTTTTTTTTATTTGATCTGAATTTATCTGAATTTGAGCTGATTCTAGATCGAATCGACCAATGCCCATAGTTTGTGATGGCAACAGAAAGAAAGAGCATCAATCCATGTTGAAAAATACATAGTAGTTAAGAAAAGGATAAATCATGCAAAGCGAACATGGGGAGATACTATTGGAACTCGCAATTCGCCTGACTTGTTGATTTTCAAGAGATTCTTTGAGTATAATCCTGGCTTTTATGAGATCGATATATTTGCTCTAATCAATAAATATATGTGAATATGATAAGACAAAGACAAGCAAACAACATTTCATAGAGCACAGGAAGTGTGAATTCATTAGTAGTTAACTAAGGCATCTTAATCCCCACCAAATCCCCTAATCTTCACCTTAATGACAACCTCCCATCCATAGCTCTTACTTTTATAGCTGTAGGATGCCGAGGTGGACTTGATTAATAATGCTAGGCTCAATACACACACTATACTTGTCTTGTCTGCCAAACTTTGATTATTACATTAAACTAAGTACGGACTTATTGTCGTTTTCAACCCATGTACTATGCCATATTTAATACATACATCCACGTACCTAGGATGCTAGACTACTAGTAGTATGTCTTAATTATCTTTCTGTTAAACATCACATCATTAGGGCTGGGAAACGGTGCGGTCTGGTCCAGACCAGACCATATATACGGTCTATGGTCCAGACCGAGAGGCTGAAGTATAGACCACAGACCAGACCACAGACTATACGGTCCGGTCCAGACCACGCTTGTGCGGTTTGGTTCGGTCTGGTCTGGTCCAGATAGACCACACTCAACGAAAAATGAACAATTTGTTTAGTCAACCACACAAAAAATTGAACCAATAACCAAGAAAAATCATTGTTATTTGCTTTAAAACATTAATCCTAACATGCATGAATAATTTTGATACCCTAATTCTTAATACATAACAAAGATTTAAAGTAAAAGCATCCCAACTTGCACCATAACGTCATAAAACATTAACATAATGTCATATTGAGACATGATTATCTCTACTCTCTGGTTAAATGTGGTTGTGAATGAAGGAGAGACGAGATTCACAAAATTAAGGTTGAGACTTGGGTGTCGTTGTGGGAGTTGGGAAAGTAGTAAAATGGGCTGTTAACACATATTGACAAGTCGGTTGGGTCCACGGTTTGGTCCGGTAAACCGCGGTCTAGACCAGACCAGACCAAGAGATCAAAACATAAGATAATACAGACCATGGACCAGACCAGACCATACTTAACGGTCTACGACCTGGACCAAATTGTACGGTACGGTTTGGACCATGGTTTTTCTAACGGTCTGGTCTATTTTCCCAGCCCTACACATCATAGTGGGTTATCAGTAGGGTTAATGCATAATGGGTCCATATAATTAGCGATGGCAACAAAACCCGAACCCACGGATACCCATCCAACCCAACTCGCGTTGACGGGTTTTGAGCAGGGTTTGGGTTTAAACCCGTTCACTATTGACCGGGTTGGGTTGGGTTTGAGTTTAACTAAACCCGCCCACACCTATATAATTAATTTTTTCCGGTATATTTAATATTTAAACAACTAATCTTCTTCATGTTTGTGGAGACATGTCTAATTTTTCTTTCTAATTGTGTAGAATGAAGTTGATATTATCGAGTAGAGAGTGGAGAAGCTTAATTGACAAGGAGGAAAAAACTTTCAATTAATCATCTTGTTTATGGATAATTTGTGATTTGCTTCAATTTTCTTGAGTTTTCTAGATTGGTGTTGAACAATTTGTATGGTTAATTTGTGATTTGCTTGAATTTTCTAGAACGGTGTTTTATATATGGATAATTTGTATTGAGAGATTGATATTTGACTTTTATTTTGATAGGAACTTGTTATTGTGTATTTTTTACGACAAAAACTCATGGGTACCCATGAACCCGCGGATACCAGCGGGTTGGGTTGGGTTTGAGTTTTTCAAATCCAGTGAGTTTTACCCCGATTTTTTTTTTCACGGATAAACCCATAAGTTTGGGTTTGGGTTTGGTAAAACCCGACCCATTGCCATCCCTACATGTAGAGTCGTACAAACAGCTAATATATAATGCAGCAAAAATGAGAGTGTAAGCATATAGTTTAATTTACCGATTAAGTAATCTTACCTCCAGCCAGGTTAAGGGTTCAACGGTATCACATCTCGTTGTCTTTGTAAAAATTAATAGAATAAAAAATGGAGTAGTATAGGGTTCGATGCGAAAATGATAAAAATGTTTGATTCGATGCTTAATTCTGTATTTTTACTTTTTGCATGGGTGAAAAAGTGACATGCAAAATGAGGTTATAACCTTTATCAGGAGTGGTTTGAGTTCAGAAAATGTTTAGCACGTCCTAAAACAGTCAGTAAAATAACCTTATATTAGTCACCTCAACCAGATGAGTTCGAAAGTTCAGAGAATACGTTTGATTTTCCTACTAGTCTTTCCATATAATTGGATTCACTATAAGTACGAGAGATGACCTCCCATGCAAAAACCAATAAAAACAACATGAGATCACTCATCAAGAAGAATAGTAGCCACATACACTGCTAAACAAAAGAAATCAACTGATAAAATCGAGTCTCGTAAATATGTGAAACGATGACACTAATAAAGAATGACAGACCATCAAATGAGTCACCCTATCGTAATTCCGACCAACAATTACAAACCTAAGTGCTGAGAGTAAAGGAAGCATGTCTGCCAACAACCCAAAATTAATTGTTGATATCTAAGCATATTCGGCCCAAATCCTTGCCTCCTAAGCTTAGTTTGGTCCTCCAATTCCTCAAAGCACAAGGAATACTAATAGGGTTTACCGGTTACAGGCCCATTGCGAAAAGCCCTTTCTAAGTGGCCCAGCCTGAAGATTGCTGGACCTCCTCGAAATCCTCGGCCCACTCCATTCTCTATAAATAAAGACACCACCGGTAATTTCTTGTCCTCGCAAAAGCGCAATTCTGTTGCTTCTCGCAAAAGACTCGCATCCTTCAGTTCCTCTCTGTCTATCGACGAAACCTAAAAACCTTCACTCGACGGAGATGGACTCAGATGTCGCCATGGTTCCGGCCGGCGAGGGCAGCTCCAGCTGCGCCGCCGGAGCTTCGTCTTCAAGCAAGAAGCCGAAGCGCTTCGAGATCAAGAAGTGGAATGCCGTCGCTCTCTGGGCTTGGGGTTCGTCCGACGAAACCCTAACTCTCTCTACAGCCTCGTCGCGCTATCTTTGCTTCTAATTTTTGTTCTCTTCTCGCTGTGCAGATATCGTGGTTGATAACTGCGCAATCTGCAGGAACCATATCATGGATCTCTGTGAGTTTTTCTTCGTCTCTCTGAGTTTCGCGATAACTGTTTATAGGTTGGAGTTCGTTTTCGTAATTGGGATTCGCTTTTGTCTTGCCCAGGCATCGAGTGCCAAGCCAATCAGGCCAGCGCAACCAGTGAGGAGTGCACTGTCGCTTGGGGTAGGCATTCCTTTATTTACTTAATTCGTCCGAAGCCTTGGTTCTTATTGGTATCTGAGATTGCCCGAATCCTGAATTGTTTTTTATGGGTCTAATTGTCAACTGTATAGCTTCATGTAGAAGATGTTTCTGGCAATGGATTTATCAGTAACTGGGGAGTGCTTTCTTCTTTTGGTTAATTGCCTGTGTTTAGCTATTTGCCCTCAGTGAATGTCTCAGCTGCATTGAACTATGAAGATTGATTAGAGTTGTTTTGGTTTGTGAAGTTTTTAACTGCGTGCAACTGTACAGGATGGTTAGGCTTGTGGTCTGTAGTAGTTTGTATATTGGCTCGAGCCTCGAGGGTCATTCTTATATAATCGTCACTGTCTTGCCGGTTTGAATGTCTCTGTTAGGATAGGTGGAGAATGCTCTGCTTGTAGTACTGTTAGATTAATTTAAAGCATTATAAATTGGAGAATGATCGCAATGGTTGGGAGTCAGTGGATGATTTTTGTCTACTTTTGGATGTGTTGGGTTATAAGCTTATGCTCACCTTCAGACTGCGGTATTAGTAATCTGTTTTTGCTTTGGTTTTGAAAGTAGGAATTATATGTATAGGAAAGCTCACTATGAGCTCTTTTTGGACTTGTGACGAGATATCATGGGGATCAGGTTCATCCTTGAGGGTTTTAGATCATGTTGAGCTGAATGTCTGAACCTTATAGTAAGTCTAGATTTCTGCATGCTAGTTGATACTTCCAGGGGTTTGTTTTGCCTATTTGCTTCCTTTTCTGGATTGTATAAGTCGCATCTCGTTGTTATGCATGGAAAAGCTTGTGATTCTGCCTTGTTGAGTGCTCAACTGTGTTCTGTCCCTATCCCTTATACCAGCCTGGCACCAATGCATATTGTTCACTTGTGAATTTAGCATACTCTCATGCCTTGTAAAGAAGGACTCTGTTGATCGTTAAGCTTATTTTTACAATGGTGGATTTGTCAGTTCATCTATCGCGGTCTACACCAATTATGTTTCAGCCCTACTTAGTCTGACTCTAGATCGCTGAACCAATGCTAATTCCTATCCCCTGCTCAGGTGTCTGTAACCATGCTTTTCACTTCCACTGCATCAGCCGCTGGTTGAAAACCCGCCAAGTCTGCCCTCTCGGTATGCAAAAAACTCTCATCAATTGTCCAAACTCTGTTCTTCCATTGAGGCCTGAAAAATCCCACATCTTACATTGGCTTTGTCCAATCTGCAGATAACAGCGAGTGGGAATTCCAGAAGTACGGGCACTAGTGGAGTCTATGACTTGAGCGTGATAGCCAGGGGGTGCCACCAAATTTCATCATGTCTCGGAAGACTTTCCAAGGAGTTTGTAAATTGGCATTTGCAGAAGGGAAAACACTAAACAAACACTTGTTCCTGTGTTTTTTTTTTTAACTAAGCTGAGTGCTATAATAGGGCAGAGCTCTTGTTTTCTGCTTATGGCTTTGGCCCTTAACTGTCTTTCCCCCAGTTTTAGGTCCAGGGTAAGTTTTCTATCCGGTTGAGCAAAGTGATTAATTGAGATGTTGGTATATGCTATCCATTATGTCGCTCTCCTTATTAGAACCTTTCTCTACTGTGTTCTCTTTCGTCGTAATCAGCATGGGCGGAGCATTTTGTTCTTCCAATCGGCTGGTGGCGTTTGCTTGTGTTCAGAAGATAAAAGTGTCAAGTAACATACTAATGATTAATTTGTCCCAATTCGAACTCCAATTAACCCAAAAACAAAAACTGAGAATGAGAGATTTATGAGGGTGAAAGTGAATATAGCTGGCACAAACTTCTCACATTTCACACTAGATCAATCTGCAGTCCCATCCCCATATGAAATTTGAACCTAGATCTAAGAGCGAAATAAACATAAATCGTGGTTTGTCATTTGTCAAGCGTCATTCATAAGTCTACATGAATCATTTTCAGATTGCTGGAAAATTCTTCACAAGTCTAAGTACTTGATGGAAAAAAGTTGAAGAGGAGACTAAAGACTTTGACATCTTAAAAACTGGTGAAAGAAGAATATCCTTAGATTTTTTTTGGTTATAACTTTTGCATGGCTAGGGGTGTTCTTGCTATATAGTCGTCTCCAAACTAGTCCCTTAATTATCGTTAATCATCCATTAACTGCTATCTATTAATTATTTAGATTAATCTAATGAACATGAATGACTTAAAATACTTAAGTTTGAAGGCTTACGTATTCAAACCCATCCCAGATCCTTGGGTGTCAAGAGTCAACGCAACAAAATTTGACAACTTCATGATCAAGTATGCAGTCATGTTCGCTCATCAGTTAGTAGTGTTAGCTAAAAATTAGGGTCATGTGGTCGAAGAATTGTTATAAGAACCGAATCAGACTAGTGGTTAGACTAGTAGAATTACTAAATCAGTGGCTTAGATGGTTAGGGATAGAACAAACGATTGTTAATAGTTTGCCATGAAACCAGATGAACCATTCCGGTTTGACTATTCCACTGTGTTATAACTGCGCTGCTACGGATTGGGAAATCGCCGGGATCGAAAAAGCAAGAATACGAAAGCGAGAATCGAAAACAGACACACGATTCACGTGGTTCACTAACACGATGTGTGTTAGCTAGTCCACGGGCGAGAGAGAGCCAGTTTCACTATATCGATGAGATTACAGAGGAGTATGAGAAGTATATATAGTACTTCTTCTAGGTCTAACACTAATCCAATCTGGTAAAGGAAAAAACGGTTACAACCAGACCCTAGAACCCGAACCCAAATAACATTGACCACGTACATCATGGGTTAACTAATACTTTCATAGCGAGTATTCCACTCGTAGCGGCTGATAGTCCGATTCAAGTCACATCAACACACTGGTTCATCATTTAACCACAAAATATAATAATAATATTAATACTTTGACATAAAGTATGACGTCATCCAATATGAATTAATAATTTTAGCAGATGAACGATATTACCAAAAGTTAACTAATAGTTTCATAACGATTAACCACTAACTTTTTCAGTCTAACATTAGATCCCGTTAGAATAACAGAGGATGAAAGTCTGTGGAGTTAATTTGTTGCAATTTCATTCTCAACCAAGCTTGCTAAACCCCGTAGAGTTAGCATCATATGATCCACAACATCGAGTTTGAGATGGTACATATGTACATTCTTTCCTCCACAATCAATGGAGAAAACCAGAGGCAATTAATCCACCGACGTAGGACAAGCAAAAAAAAAAGAAAGCGTCCTATTATAATCCAACCACTGCACCAGGCAGAAACCTAAAGCAAAAAACCTTGATGATAGATAATGGCATGCCCCTTCAAATAGACTCCACAGAACCTCCCTGCCTCCATTGCACAGCAATAGGACTCCTCACCTTATGCACTCCATCGCTCCACTCCACGAACCCGAAGCTCTGACTCGCAGCACCATTATCGAAACCCACAACAGAGCTCGAGAACGTAATCTCATACGCCAAAGACGAGCTCTCCTTGCTAAACACGAGCTTCGTGGGCGAGACCTGGACATCCACGTTCACCGGAGCATTCACTTTGATCTCGTAGACCGCATCCACCGAGCTCCCAACATTCTTCACCACCCTCTTGTACGTGACCACATCCGATTTGGGCTTGAACACCACGGAGAACGACGGGTAGTTCAGGTCCCCCGGACCGGCGGTCAGCGCCGGTGCATGCTCGCAGACGTCCGACGCAATGGGCTCGCCGAAGATCACCGCGATCCTCGAGGCACTGTACCCGCTCGAGCAGAGGAACGAGACGTAGTCTGTCGTGTTGAGGTCGTAAACCAGCCCCGGGCTCACAGCGGCATTAGGAACAACATGCCCTGCACCGTAAACAAACGGAGTCGTCCCTTTGCCAGTGGCCAGATCGTTGATGTTCTCCCCGGAGTTGTCGAATGTTGTCGCCGTCGTGATCATAGCCGATTTAATTGCTGCCGGAGACCAATCGGGGTGTGCTCCCTTGAGCAATGCGGCTAGGCCGCTAACATGTGGGCAGGACATTGAAGTACCTAGCATCAATTTGATCAAAATGGAACAGTAAGTATCCAATTTCTAGCAAATTTGATCAAAATCATAAGATGGTTAAGAAAAAAATTGTACCTGAAATGATGTTGAATGTAACTCTTCTGGGATCAATTTCCAAGTCCGATGGTGCAGCGGCGCCGGTCCAGCCAGCCAAAATGTTGACGCCGGGAGCGATGACATCCGGTTTGAGGATCTCCGGCGTGACCCTGTTCGGTCCCCGGCTGGAAAACGATGCCACTTTAGGAGCAGGCGGGGTGTCTTCTCCGATCACAGTTCCCCTGAATTGGATGGTGGCAGAGGGAGATGCGGCGGATTGAATGTAGGCGCGGATTTTGTCCCCTTCCGTCGCTCCCACCATGGTGGCGGGAATGAGATGAGCGTCGGCGAGAAGCTCGTCTCCTTCTAAATCAGTGTTCGCCATTATCATCCCAGCACCGCCGGCGAGCTTCACCGACGCTCCTTTCTCGACCCTCGCGTTCCCGCCGCGATCGCAGAGCACGATCTTGCCTTTCACCTTCGCCGGGTCGAGGTTGCCGGAATAGCAGTACCTGCTCCCGCAATCGGCGCTGTAAACCAGAGGCAAAAGTTCCCCCTCCGGCAGACCATCCCCACCGTAAAGCGAAACTCCGCGGTGCACGCTTCCATCTCCGAGCACAACATCGGCAGGGAAATCACGGTCAACGGTAGACGCGCCGACGGTCAAGATCCACGGAGCGATGTTCGTCGCCGTGTAAGCTCCTGGCCCGGAATTCCCCGCCGAGCAGGAGACGACGATCCCTTTTTTCGCAGCCGCGAAAGCTCCGATGGCGATCGAATCGCTGTCGTATGGAGGCGGGTAGCTTCCTCCGACGGAGAGGGAGATGACGTCGACCCCGTCGTCAACGGCCTGGTCAAACGCGGCGAGGATGTCGGAATCGAAGCATCCCGGCGACCAGCAGATCTTGTAGGCGGCGACCCACGCGCTCGGCGCCAGCCCCCGCGCGTCGCCGGCGGCGTAGCCGAACAGGCTGGCGTTCGTCACGACGGATCCGCCGGCCGTCGACGCCGTGTGGGTGCCGTGCCCTTCCGTATCTTTCGGAGATTTCGATTCCTTCGTCTCGTCGATCGGCCTTCCCCTGTAGCTCTCGTATCCTTTGTAAAATGCTCTGGCTCCGATCAGCTGGTAGAAAACAAGGATTCTAAAATCAGCTCATTTGAATACCACGATGAAACCTAGAAATCGATCGTCAATCCAATTTGAATTCACTCTTGTGAGAGCTCAAATACGCCTTATTACCTAATCAATTCGATTTACTTAAGAACCCTAGAAATCAACTACTTATCTACGGTTCTCAAGAGTTCAAAAACCCTAGAAATTCGACTAACTGACCTTTCGATTACAAGCAGCGGCAGGGAAATCCTTGCCGGACTCGCAGACTCCGCGCCACTTGGCAGGGATTTTGTCGGCGGCGGCGGGGAAGGCGGCGTCGTCGAAGCTGGGGTGGAGGGGCCAGATCCCGGTGTCGAGGACGCCGATGATGACGCCGTCGCCGTTGGCGGAGTTGAGGGAGAGTGGGGAGGAGGGGGAGAGGCCGAGGAAGGAAGGGGTGTGGGTGGTGTGGAGGTGGCGGATCTGGTCGGGGACGACGGAGAGGATCCCCGGGGTGCGGAGGAGGCGGGAGGCTTGGTCGGCGGTGAGGGAGGCGGAGAAGCCGGCGGCGGCGTGGGAGTAGGTGTAGAGGAGGGCGGAAGGGTGGGGGAGGATGGAGGCGTACCAGTCGCGGTGGGAGGAGAAGAGGGCCGGCTTGTGGGATTGGGACACGTGGACGATGAAGGTTTGGGGGCGGGGTTCTGGCGCCGCGGCGGCGGAGGAGATTAGGAGGAAGAGGAAGATTGCTGCGGCGGCTGCCATGGTTGCGGTCAGTGGGGAGAGACAGGAGTGTTTGGTTGCTGAGAAATTGGAGGAGAAGAAGAAGGGAGGGAGGGACTGAGTGAAGTCTCTGAAGCTGGTACTGGTAGGTTGGGAATCTCGAAGCTGATTGGTCCACGTCATCCACTGGATTAAAATAAAATAAAAAATCTTTGGATACTTTTGCAAGAAACCAATAATACTGGATTAGTTAATTTTTACTTTCTTCTACCTAGCTTTCTTCTCCTTATTGAAATCTGAAAGGAAGTTTTTCCATACTTTCATGAATCATGATCATGATTTAGTTTGGGAATGATTAAAAAAAGGTTAGTCTTTATGCTCTAGTTTAAGATTTATATTTGAGCTTATACCTAATTAAATATCTGGTCTGAATTTGGTTTTGGTGATAGTTAAATTGATGCATTGTTATCAATGTATGTATAATTATATATATGTATATAAGAAAATTGTTGTATTGTAGTTTACATCGTTTGGTTTCTGTGATAATTATTCAAATATTGAAATAAGTTATATTACTTTTGGATGAAATGTCACTTTTGCCCTTTCTTTTTAATATTAAAAAAGCAACACACATAAAAAAAAGTAGGGACATAGTTGGAAGTAGGAACAAAACAAAACCCAACAATCTCAACCAAAACTTGGGATTTAACTATCACTCATTTTGAGTGATAGTTTGTGTCAAATCAAGCAAACAATACATGCATTTTTTGTGCATAAAATTAAAAAAAACGATGCATTATGGACAATACATGTATTGTAACTATCACCAAACCAAACGAGCCCTTAATTACAGGGGATTATTGGGGAAAAAAATTAATCGGATTGATTAAATCGATGTTCAAAATAAGGAAGTTGTAACATGATATATGACGAGACCTAGACCTATCAGTAATAATTATTCGATATGATATAATGTTTTCCTTGACACTATTTTGATTGTGTAAACAAAACATTAAATCATACAATTCGATAAGGGTCGTTTGGATGAATCAATCTAGAAATGAGTCAATTTGATCAATTGTCTCGTTTTATAAACAAGGCAATTAAAACGAGTCAATTCGAATTACCTGCCCCGCCCCAGGTAATTGAAATTGACTCAAAACAGATCAATTCAAAATACCTCAGGCAGATTGATCCATCCAAAAATTTTGCTGCCAAACGTGGCAATTTGGTACGATGGTCTCAATACGAGACAATTCCTCATCCAAACGACCTCTTATATTTTTTTTTATAATTCGTGAGCATTAGATCAAATAATATCATTTGTCTTTATTTTGTATTCTTTACCTACTTAAATGAGGTTAGTACAAACTTACGTAATACCGCATTCACATTATAACCCAAAACACCGAGGAACAATTAGATACTAGTGTTTCATCAAATTACTAGAATTGAGGAATTTCCTAAGTTGTCAACATGATTTTGGTTGGCATTAAAATTGGGTGTTATTGGGGGGATCATGATGGGTCCTAACTCTTAAAGGTTGAGTTGTGTAATGGCAATGGGAAGCATGCATGATATTAATTAGCAAAAGTTTAGCTCCCTACCTAACTCATCCATGTAAAAGAAATATAATATGATTATCAAAATCGAGCTACTTGTTCAATTTGGAACATTCGATAAAATTGGACGACACATAAAATTTAGCTACCTACCTCATATAAACCAAAATAATTTGGGGAATTTGGTGAGATAGAGAATGAATGGATTTCTACATAGTGAGCTTAATATAATGGCGTGGATATGATAGGATAGGATAGGATAATAATAGGGACATGGGCATGGGAGCCCATTCATAGCAAACAAATTTTTTGGATGAAACTTGTACAGCAGAAAAACTTTGAAATTATACCTGCATACATGAGTGCTGCTTGGAGTTGTTATCAGTTAATTAATAATCTGTACAAGTTTCATCCACATAAATACGATATCTGTTGATATGACTTGAATCGGATTATCAGCCGCTACGACTGGTAATCGGGGGTCTCGCTGCCCGGTCAGCGAGTGGGGTCCAGGGGCAACGTCACGGTGGGGTGCGGGGGCAACGCCCCCGGCCCACGGTGTATGGGCTCAATGTTATTTGGGTTCGGGTTCTGGGCCTGGTCTGTAACCGTTTCCTTTGCTAGATTGGATTAGGTTTAGACCCACATGGAGAAGTACTATAAATACTTCTCATACTCCTCTGTAATCTGTAATCTCCTCGATATAGTGAAATTGGCTCTCTCTCGCCCGTGGACGTAGCTAACACACATCGTGTTAGTGAACCACGTAAATCGTGTGTCGTGTTTTCGATTCTCGCTTTCGTATTCTTGCTTTGTCGATTCCAGCGATTTCCCGATCCGTAGCAGCGCGTTTATAACAATATCTTACATATTATATTGAACTTAATTGTTATCTTATTGTTTTAACACGAATCTTCGTTTAATTGTCTCTATCGTCCAAATCATCGATAGTGAGTTAACTTTTGGTGACTGATGGCTCAATCCACCACCCAACAGTCATGACTCATCTAACCATCACTACCCATGCGTCCTCTACTGAATTGGTTGATGAAGAAAGTATAAGTGTGTGCTCTTTCTGGTCTGTCCAGGTTCAATGTACCAGAAAACTTTATGTTTTTTTTTTAAATGCAATATTTGGTAACTGAGATTACTAAATCGTGTCATGTTTAGTCACTAAAAAAATTTAATATCAATTTTGGTCATTCGAATTAGTAAAACAGGTCACATTTACTCACTCTCCCATTAGCTTCCGTTAATGGAGTTGAACGGAAGCTAACGGGAGAGTGACTAAATGTGACATGTTTCAGTAATTCGAGTGACTGGAGTTGGACGGAGGCTGACGGGAGAGTGAGTAAATGTAATCTGTTTCAGTAATTCGAGTGATCAAAATTTATATTAAATTTCTTTAGTGACTAAACATGAAACGATATTTAGTGATCATAGTGGGGTTGTTAATGAACCAACTATTCGCGAACGACTCGATCTCAAACTCGATAAAAACTCGTTCGATTTTAAAAAAGCTTGATTCGTTTATTAATAAGCCAAGCTTGAGATCAACCTTGTTTGGCTCGTGAACTAGCTCGATTAGGTGGCTTGTTGAGTTCGACTCATGAACTATCCAATTTTGAACTCATGAGGTGTCTCAACATTGTAATTGGCGAGCCAATTTGATTACGACTTATGAGAAAATTGATCTGTATCTTATGAGTTGATTTGTTAATGATGCATATATTTATTAAATTGTATATCACACCGCATGTGATGTTTAATAATTTGAGTATGTGAACAAGTATGCCTTGTGTATGACATAAATATTAGGTATTTAATTCATAAATTATCTTAGAGTTGATTTCCAGCCGAAATTTTGATCTTAATGACAGTCAAGATTCAATAAATGAGCTGGATCGTGTTCGACTCGACTCAGCTCGTTTATAAACGAGCCAAGCTCGAGTTCGGCTCGTTTATAAATGAACCAAACCTGAACAAGACAAAACTCGGTTCAGCTCAGTTAATTAACAGCTCTAGATCTTAGTGACCAAATGTGGCATTTACCCTTTTTTATTACCCAGGAACTTAAACCTGGGAGCCACCTGCAATCAAATTCGACGCCAACATGATTTCGCTCCTAGCAGTCTTATACCTCCGGCAATACCAACGGAACTCGTTTGAGAACTTTATTCATGAGGTGCTTCGTCTTATGATCTTCTTTAGCATCAATAGCGTTATTCTGCTAACCGTGTTAGTAGGTAGCATATACTAACACGGTGGGATGAGGGGCCACGTCGCCGAGCCACCATCTGAGGGTTCTGGGTCGCCGGCGCTGTTCTGTGAGGGGGGGAGAGGGCCAAGCCGAACCATTTTTTCCAAAAGTGGGGAAAGAAATAAAAAAAAACCCAAAATTTCAAACCCGCCCAAAACCCAACCTCAACCCGCGGTCAGCCATTCTCCCCTCTCTCTCCAACTTTCGAACTCTCTCCCTCTCCTCTCCTTTTCTCCCGAAAACCACCACCAACAGCGACGATCTTCGGCGGCGACGACGGCGACGACGACTGCGAGGTCGGCGACCGCTTGCTGGATATACCGCTGACGTGGCCCTTGAAGCTATCCCGACCGACGAGGAAGAAGACGCCGCCGACGAAGAAGAAAGAAGAAGACGCCGCCGACTTCGCCGACGAAGAACTCCGCCGCCGTCGCCGCCGATAGTTGGAGGTAGAAGAAGACGCTGAGGTAGTTCTACTTCTCTCTTTATTGTTCATTTTGTTTGTGGATTTGAAAATTTATGTTAGGGTTTCGGTTTCATGGATTTTGTGTGTGGAAATCTTGGTTTTGTTTATGGATTTGAAAATTTATGGTTCATGCAATTCGATTTAGGGTGTTTAGGGTTTTGATTCTAGATTTCCAGATATTGTGTTCGTGGGATTCGAATTTGGGGTTTAGGGTTTCGTTTTGGGGGTTTAGGGTTTCGTTTTGGGGGTTTATGGATTCGTTTTTCGATTTGTAGATTTAGGGTTTCATGGATTCGAATATGGGTGTTTAGGGTTTTGTTTGTAGATTACCAGATTCTGGGTCTGTGGGATTCGAATTTTGGGGGTCTGGTTTTTTTTTCTAGTTACCAGATTTATTGTTTCCCGAATTCCATTTTGGGGGTTTGTTGGATACGATTTTGGGGAATCTAGGTATTGTTTGTTGATTCCTTGATTAAATGTTACATGGATACGATTTTGTTGAATCTGGGTATCATTTGTCGATTCCTTGGTTAAAGATTATATGGATATCAGTTTTGTCAATTGTGATACTTATTCTGGTCATTTTATATATTGTTTCATTATGGTTTCTCGAATTCCATTTTGGGGGTTTGTTGGATACGATTTTGTTGAATCTGGGTATCATTTGTCGATTCCTTGGTTAAAGATTATATGGATATCAGTTTTGTCAATTGTGATACTTATTCTGGTCATTTTATATATTGTTTCATTATGGTTTCTCGAATTCCATTTTGGGGGTTTGTTGGATACGATTTTGTTCAATCTGGGTATCATTTGTCGATTCCTTGGTTAAAGATTATATGGATATCATTTTTGTCAATTGTGATACTTATTGTGGTCATTTTGTTTATTGTTTCAGTGAATGGGGAGACCGAAAAAGAACTCAAAGCCCAACAATGAGGGAGAAGGATCATCAAAGCAGCCACCTGATGTACAACAACAAGAGGTTTCATTTCTTACTCCGTTTCTCGATTGGTTATGTTGGCTAAAAATTACTAGTCGGATGCATTTTAATATTTTCATTGACCGATAGTTTTCTTAATATCTAACTATGTTTCAGGAACAACCCGTGAGGAAGAAACCCAAAACTGTTGCACCAAAATCTTCAGCGAAATCTCGTGAAGCAGCTGGATTGTCACAGCAGCCGCCGGATGAACCACCACCAAAGGTTTGATTTCTCACTTCGTTTCTCGATTAGTTATATTGGCTAAAAAAATGAACTGATGTGTCTGATGTGTGGATATCAGTTCTGTTAATGTGGATACTTAACTGTTCATTTTAGTTATTTTTCTGGGTATTATAGATATTTTTTCATGGATATCAGTTATCTCCGTTTGGATACACTTTAGCTTTACTACGATAATAAATGTATGTATTGGCTAAAAAAATAATCTAATGTGTCTGATGTGTGGATGTCAGTTCTGTTAAGTTGGATGCTTAACTGTTCGTTTTAGTTATTTTTCTGGATATTATGGATATTTTTTTCATGGATATCAGTTATCTCCGTTTGGATACACTTTTGCTTTACTACGATAATAATTGTATGTATTGGCTAAAAAATAATCTAATGTGTCTGATGTGTGGATATCAGTTCTGTTAAGTTGGATACTTAACTCTTCGTTTTAGTTTTTTTTCTGGGTATTATGGATATTTTTTTCATGGATATCATTTATCTACGTTTGGATACACTTTTGCTTTACTACGATAATTGTATTGTATATAAGTGTGCGTTTTAGTTATTTGTCCAAGGATTATGGATATTTTGCTTAATATATAACTGTGTTTCAGGAACAACCCGGGATGAAGAGAACGAAAATGGTTGCATCGAGATCTCGTGAAGGAGAAAAATCAAGGCAGCCGCCGCCTGCTATTCCAGAAGTTGAGGAGGAAGATGAGGAAGAAGATGATGAGGGAGAGGGTCCATGCGGCTCATATTTCAGATTTCGTGGGTCCACCTATTCCCTCTTCAAAATTATAAACTACTGGAAAGAAGATGCTGAATACTATGCAGCCTGCAAGAAAGAAGTCGAGAAGGCAGGATTCGGGGGCCTATTGGAGCTTCGCATGCCGAAGATATCCAATGTCTTCATGGACGACTTGATGGCTGCTTATGACACCTCATCCAGTACTTTTGTTTTTGGGGAAGGAGACTCGAAGAAGGTCTTCGACTTCACAGCTGAGGATGTGGCACGTGTCTACGACCTTCCTCTCGGTGGGTTTGTGATTGATTTGAAGAACGTTGAGGGGGGGATGCTTGATAGTTTCAGCGAGGAAGTTGGCATGATTCCGAACAGGGCTCGCATGGTTTCTATCAAGCAGATGCGGGAGTTGGCCATTCCAGTCAACGGTCCTAGACCACCTGTTGCAGTTGCTGTCAAGCAATTCTTGCTGCTAGCTACTGGTTCGATGCTCGTGCCGACATTTTCTCGGAGGTGCAAGCTGGACTTCGCCCCATACCTAGGCGGGAGTGTTGAGGACGTGAGGGTGTACGATTGGTGTACATTTATTGTCTGTGAACTGAAAGTAGAGTTGACTATTGCCAAGAGAAAAGAACCTAGTGCAAGGGTGCGCTCGCCGTGCGTGTGGGTTCTCGGAGATTGCTACTTCTTGACAGTAAATCCTAACCTTTTCTATACTTGTTGGTTCAATTGCATGAAAACTAGTGAATTTCGTATTTGGGTATGATCTGCTGGATATTTGTTTAGTCACATAAGATACTGTTTGCATGAAAACTAGCTTAAAATGATTTCTGGATATCAGTTTAGTCACATATGATTCTGTTTGTGTTGACTCTGGATATTTGTTGATTAAATTGCTAGAAATGGAACTTAACATTTATTAATTGTAATTTTTTTTACAGCTCCATCTGTTGGACTCTCTAAAACTAGGCGGGTTGCACACAAAGACCATCCCTAGCTGCCGGTTTTGGTGGAAGCAAAATGTCGAGAGGGCAGCCACATCTATCCCCGTAGTCAGGGGAAGATATGACCTAGCTGCCGCTCTGCTGAGTAGGGAAGAAATCGCCTCTCGCAGGCAGTTCGAGTCGGCAGCTAGTGCAGCAGCTGCGAGCAGTTCAGCTCCTCCTCCAGATCGTGCACCGTTGCCCACCGCGGAATGGTGGGAGACTGAAGATTTGACTAGCCTTTCGCTGGGGCAGGTAAAATGTTTTCTTCCTCCCTAACTAAGATCGTGCATTGGTAGACTTGGACGATAAAGTAACCTAAATATTTCACAACATATGTGTAGCTTAAGGGATTGAAGGAAATCATTGAGAGCATGATTGAAAAGTGGGTGGCTCGAAGGGACAAGGTCCAAACGATTGTCCAGAATTTGGAAGAGCAAGAGTGAATATGATGCCATGTTGTACTGTTTTCCGTTGTATGGTGGGGGGTTGTACTGTTTTCCACGAATTTGATGCCATGTTGGAATGGCTTAGGATATTAGTCGGATTTAGTTTGTTGTTCTGGAATATTTGTTGGTTTCATTTGGATATCAGCTTGTGATGTTTGAATAATGGTTTGTGATGTTTGAATAATGTTTGAATATTTGTTGTTCTTTTCAGTTATGAATAATGGTTTGTGATGTTTGGATATTAATTTGATGCATTTGGATATTTCTGTGGAATCAATGTTTGTTATTTTTGGATATCAATTCTGCCAACTTGAATATTTGTACGCTCTATTCCGATAATAGTCTGGGTACATGGGATAATTGTACGAGCAGTTTGGATATAGTTTTTAATTCCCGCAAAATGTTCGTTTGTCTTCCAGCTCAAGGTACTAGGTGCTGGGATTGACCGGCATATGGGAAAATTGCTGGACTTTGCAACAAAACTGGGACATATGATAGAAAAGAAGGAAGAGCATGACAGGTTCAAGGTCGTGGATTCCAGGAGGAGACCTTTGGAGAATACTGTTGAAGAGGTGCTAGAGCAGCTTAAAACAGATGTGGTGGAAGACCGAGTGGAGAAGGACCAGGTCGAGCCACAAGTGGAGACAACTGGAGAGAAATATGAAGAAGATCCTCAAGAGAAGAATCGATTTGAGGTGGTGGAGAATGAAGCTGAGAAGACTGTAGAGACACCGGACGAGGAGTTGTTTGAGCCGACAGTCCCTATGGTGATACACTATACATTCCCAGATACCTCTTTTGAGGACATTTTGCAGATAACTAATGAGGCTACTAGCGCTGCTAATGCCGAGGAAGTTGACCCACCTACAGAGGTGGTGGAGTCGTTCTCTCAACTTGAAGAGATGGGAATGTTGCCTACAGACGAGGAGTTGGTAGAAGCGGCTTCTAGGAGCGCTGAGAGGAGTCCAGATGTGATTATCACCGATGAGAGGAATATGACTGATGAGGAGAGAGACCGTCTGTACAACTACACACCTGAGGAATGGCTTGCAACACTAAAGACCCCAGAGTTCGAGAGGTCGAAGAAGAACCCATATGCTTCCTCATCAGTATATTATTTGTCGGAGGATGTGTCGCCAAAGCTCGACCCAGTTGCTCGTCTTATGGTTGAGTACGTCTTCAGTACCCCTGAGGGTAAGGGCTTGGTGGTGCACACTCCTTCAATTAAACTCGCCCGTATTCAGCTGTTGACATTGAAGCGATTAGAGTGGGTCAATCTACTTGTGATTGAGGCTTATGGGCATTTCTTGAACGACAAAGCACTTGCCGGTGACAAGAACAGAGTTATCTTTCCGTTCACTTTTGGTGTAAGTAGGCTCTTCACTGACACCTTACAATTTTTAGATATTCAGTAACTAATTAGCTATCATTTTACTTTGCAAACAGAATCTTGCCTTACTTAATCCTCAGAAGAATGTGCCCCCGTCGAAGGAGAGACTCAATGGGGTCATTGAACTGACCGAGCGGTATCAAGTCTTCAAACAAGTTGCAAGGGACAAAGTAGAATATGTAAGTGAATCCTTATTCTATCTCGATACTGATTTACGTGGTTGTGGATACTAGTATGGGTTTATTGGATATTTATCCGAGAGAATAAATGATTTGTTTGAAGATTTGCCTGAGAATATATGAAATGTTAGTTTTGGATACTAGTCTGGGTTTATTGGATATTTATCCGAGAGAATAAATGATTTGTTTGAAGATTTGCCTGAGAATATATGAAATGTTAGTTTTGGATACTAGTCTGGGTTTATTGGATATTTTTCCGAGAGAATAAATGATTTGTTTGAAGATTTGCCTGAGAATACATGAAATGTTAGTTTTGGATACTAGTCTGGGTTTATTGGATATTTATCCGAGAGAATAAATGATTTTTTTCTATGTTTCAGCTTTTTCCCCCTGTGCATAACGACAAACACTACCGGGTCTATGCTGCTAATCTAAGGAGTCAGAAGACTTTCCTTCTGGACAGCCAGAAACCCAAGCCAGCAGTGGCCAAGGTGGATCACTCTCCCATGGGGAAATTGATATTTGAGTATGGGGCTGCTTTCCTTGCAAAGCACAACCTCGATTTTCCCTTGCATGATTGGGACTTCTTAATTGCGGATGTTCCTCAACAAAAAGGAAACCATGACTGTGGAGTGTTCGCGTGCATGTTCTTGGAGCACTGGGCGGGTCACATTCCATCGGAATACAAGGAAACTTGGCACTTGGATGAGCACGTGGAGCACCAGCGAGCATCTATTGCAGCCAGTCTCCTTCAAAGGAAATACAACAAAGTAAGGAATGTCGTACTTGAGCATGCAAAGGAGTGGGCAGCATATAAGGAGAAAGGGAAGATTAAATGAAACTTACCTCATTATGTTTCATGTGACATATGTTGATGTTTAAGTATTAAGGTGATTGGGTTATTTTGGGAAGTTTTGGAGAAAAGGAGACACTAACTCTATCCTGATCCCTCGCTTTATTATTATAAGCTGAGTGTGTTATTTTGGTAACATTTGTACCAAAGTAGACACTAACTATGTTGATTAAATTGCTCGCTTTATTAGTTTATCAAGGATGGATTAAAAATATCTTTCCTTCAACAAAAGTATATCATATGACCCACAAAAATATCCAAACACATGAACTAAGGGAATATTTCATCACGTTCAAATAAATATCCACACAGCCCGGAAAAAAATCATAATATTTTGAATAAATATCAGTATGTCAGAAACAAGTATTACAACTAGGAAAGACAAGTATCCACAACACACAAACTAATATCTATTATTTGTACCCTAACCCTAAACCCTAAAGTTTAAACTCTATCACCCTAATACTAAACACTAAAAAAATAAAACAATTGTTGTTTTCCCAAGCTGAGAATATTCAAAGGTTCCACAAAAATATCCAAACACATGAACTAAGGTAATATTTCATCAGGTTCAAATAAATATCCACACAACCCGGAAAAAATCATAATATTTTGAATAAATATCAGTATGTCAAAAACAAGTATTACAACTAGGAAAGACAAGTATCCACAACACACAAACTAATATCTACTATTTGTACCCTAAACTTTAAAGTCTATCACCCTAATCACTAAACACTAAAAAAAATAAAACAATTGTTGTTTTCCAAAGCTGAGAATATTCAAAGGTTCCACAAAAATATCCAAACACATGAACTAAGAGAATATTTCATCAGGTTCAAATAAATATCCACACAACCCGGAAAAAAATTATAATATTTTGAATAAATATCAGTATGTCACAAACAAGTATTACAACTAGGAAAGACAAGTATCCACAACAGATAAACTAATATCTACTATTTGTACCCTAAACCCTAAAGTCTATCACCCTAATCACTAAACATTAAAACAATAAAACTATTGTTGTTTTCCCAAGCCGAGAATTTTCAAAGGTTCCACAAAAATATCCAAACACATGAACTAAGGGAATATTTCATTAGGTTCAAATAAATATCCACACAACCCGGAGAAAAATCAAAATAATTTAAACAAATATCATTATGTCAGAAACAAGTATTACAACTAGGCGAGACAAGTATCCACAACACACAAACTAATATCTACTATTTGTACCCTAACCCTAAACCCTAAACTCTATCACCCTAATCAATAAAACACTAAAAAAATAAAACTATTATTGTTTTCCCAACCTGAGAATATTCAAAGGTTCCACACAAATATCCAAACACTAACAATAAAAACTATTATTATTTAATAGGCCTTCGGCCTATGGGCCCTCGACGGGCAGCCCTAACAAAGGTTGCAAGCCTTACGTGTTAGGACTTGATAGTGTGTAGGACTTGCTAATGTGTTTAATTTGATGTAAGACACAATATTCCAATCTTTCACAAATTGAAAACCAGAACTCTAATATCTACTATTTGTACCCTAACCCTAACCCTAAACCCTAACCCCTAAACTTTAAACTCTATCACCCTAATCACTAAACACTAAAACAATAAAACTATCAAGATGTGCCCAATCCGAGAATATTTTAAGGTTCCACACAAATATCCAAACACATGAATTAAGTAAATATTTTCTCAGATTCAATTAAATATCCAGACAACCCAGACAAATATCAAATTATTCAAAATAACTATTAGTTCCTTAGTAAAAAGTATTAAACTATTTTCAATAAATATCCACAACACACAAACTAATATTTACTATTGGGTCGAGGGAGTTGGGTTTGGTTTGGTGTTTCTTTCAAAGCCCGATTCAAGTAAGCCCAGCTAGAACCCTAGAACTAGCCAGCAGTAAAATAAACCGCTCATAGCGGTTCCCTTTGTGTCGTTTCCATTGTCAAAAAAAAAAAAAATTGTGTCGTTTCCTTTGGCCGATCGAAATGGTGGAGACTCCTTCGGTTGAAAACACCACGGCGGCGAGGGTAAAGCAGGCGCGGCGCCGACGGCCTTTTCCTGTGCTTCATCCGGATCTCATCGTCAAGATTTTTATTTGGCTACCTGTGGCTTCGCTCCTCTGGTTCAGGTGCGTCTCCAAATGGTTCAAAACCTTAATTTCCAGTCCCGATTTCGTGAAAGAACATCTGAGAAGTATGAAAGCGTTGTCGGATGTCAAGCCGAATTGCGTTGATAGGCTGTTCAGGAGTTCTTTCAACTTCATCGAGCGCGTAATCCAACCCCTCGAAGGGAGTCCTCCTGTTGCTGATTGGGGTTTGCACTCGTGGTCGGTGAAGTCTTTATACTATGGCCCAGGATCGACCCCATCGAGCTTGGGGGTTTGTTTGAAGGATTCAGTCAATTTGAGGATCGAGTTGTTGGGTCATGCGATGGGTTGCTTTGCTCTTTTCTCTGGCGTTACAACCAGGTGGCGGTATGGAACCCATCTTCCAGAGTTATGAGGACATTGCCCGCTTTCCCCTATGATATGTCAGAGGAACAGGTGCAAATGTCTGACACGTATTTTGGATTTGGTTATGATAGTCATCTTGATGATTACAAAGTGGTAGTAGTGATTTCCTATCCAGCTGAAACTCAAGTTCAAGTCTTTGCTCTGAAAACTTCGTCATGGAGGAGAATCGAGAATTTTAAGTATGGGGTTCCATCAGATACGGAGGCGGATGCAAAGTTTTTTGCTGGCCGTCTTTACTATCGAGTGTCAAGTTCTGAGGGTGAAGGGAATAACCAGAGGGACACCCTAGTCTCACTTGATCTTGCAACAGAAAAATATAACAAGGTGAAACTCCCTGAATTTCATGGCGCTGGTACTCGTTGGGACATAGAATCATTTGTTGATCGTCTTTGTGTTGTGCAATTTGATGGTTTCCGTTCGTGTGAGGTATGGGTGATGAAAGATCCTAGGGTGACAGATGCTTGGACTAAGTTGTTTAGTGTTGATCAGGCTGTGGTCGATGCAATGTTATACACTCCACTTTACATTTCAGACAGTGGTGAGGCTCTTTGGAATAACGGTGAAGATTTGTTCATTTACAATTCCAAGAACAACACTATAAGGTTTCCTGCATCGAGAGGCTTGTCCGATCGTGATGGTACTCCTGTGATCTATATGGAGACCTTAGTTTCGCCAAACATGGATAATTAGCAAAGTGGGGTAAGTAGGTTCAACTCGACTAGATCATATGCATTGATAATCTGATCCATACTCTGCATTGTTTGTAGTTATACTAATTCTGCATTTGAATGTGAAATTATTCAATCCAATGTTTCGCCTTGAACATTTTGCAACCTACTTGCTGATTCCTTTTTCTGTTCTATGTTACTATATATCCTCCTTTGACTTGAAACTTGGGGCCGGTTGTAGGTACCATTAACAATACCGGTTGGAATTTTGACTACCCCGTAAGATCACCCCGGAGAATGCTGTGCTATCGTCGATGGAATGGAGCAAGGCAGTTTGTGAATTTCATTTGGATTTCCATGTGTGATGTAGTACGAACTCATCCTAGTAATTAGTAATTAAGCAATGGTTTCAACTTTCACGGGGAACTTGGATTTGTATGTGTGACCAAGAACGATAAAACAGTACCGAAAAGTTAGTGGTAGAGTATTTTGTGTTGAATCCGTGGTGTATCTGTCATTTCAGTTGTTTCACTACGGGGAAAACAATCTGAAACCATGCTGCTCAGATTCAATTAAATATCCAGACAACCCAGACAAATATCTAGACAACCCAGACAAATTATTTAAAATAACTATCAGTTCCTTAGTAAAAAGTATTAAAATCTTTTCAAAAAATATCCACAACACACAAACAAATATCTACTATTTGTACCCTAACTCTAAACCCTAAACTTTAAACTCTATCACCCTAATCACTAAACTATAAAAAAATAAAACTATTATTGTTTTCCCAAGCTGATAATATTCAAAGGTTCCAGAAAAAGATCCAAACACATGAACTAAGGGAATATTTCCTCGGGTTCAAATAAATATCCACACAACCCGGAAAAAAATCATAATATTTTGAATAAATATCAGTATGTCAGAAACAAGTATTACAACTAGGAAAGACAAGTATCCACAACACACAAACTAATATCTACTATTTGTACCCTAAACCCTAAACCCTAAACTTTAAACTCTATCACCCTAATCACTAAACACTAAAAAAATAAAACTATTATTGTTTTCCCAAGCTGAGAATATTCAAAGGTTCTACAAAAATATCCAAACACATGAACTAAGGGATTATTTCATCACGTTCAAATAAATATTCACACAACCCGGAAAAAAATCAAAATATTTTGAATAAATATCAGTATGTCAGAAACAAGTATTACAACCAGGAAAGACAAGTATCCACAACACACAAACTAATATCTACTATTTGTGCCCTAAACCCTAAACCCTAAACTTTAAACTCTATCACCCTAATCACTAAACACTAAAAAAATAAAACTATTATTGTTTTCCCAAGCTGAGAATATTCAAAGGTTCTACAAAAATATCCAAACACATGAACTAAGGGAATATTTCATCACGTTCAAATAAATATTCACACAACCCGGAAAAAAATATTTTGAATAAATATCAGTATGTCAGAAACAAGTATTACAACCAGGAAAGACAAGTATCCACAACACACAAACTAATATCTACTATTTGTACCCTAAACCCTAAACTTTAAACTCTATCACCCTAATCACTAAACACTAAAAAAATAAAACTATTATTGTTTTCCTAAGCTGAGAATATTCAAAGGTTCTACAAAAATATCCAAACACATGAACTAAGGGAATATTTCATCACGTTCAAATAAATATTCACACAACCTGGAAAAAAATCAAAATATTTTGAATAAATATCAGTATGTTAGAAACAAGTATTACAACTAGGAAAGACAAGTATCCACAACACACAAACTAATATCTATTATTTCTACCCTAACCCTAAACCTTAAAGTTTAAACTCTATCACCCTAATCACTAAACACTAAAAAAATAAAAACTATTATTGTTTTCCCAAGCTGAGAATATTCAAAGGTTCCACAAAAATATCCAAACACATGAACTAAGAGAATATTTCATCACTTTCAAATAAATATCCACACAACCCGAAAAAAAATCATAATATTTTGAATAAATATCAGTATGTCAGAAACAAGTATTACAACTAGGAAAGACAAGTATCCACAACACACAAACTAATATCTATTATTTGTACCCTAACACTAAACCCTAAAGTTTAAACTCTATCACCCTAATCACTAAACACTAAAAAAATAAAACTATTATTGTTTTCCCAAGCTGAGAATATTCAAAGGTTCCACAAAAATATCCAAACACATGAACTAAGGTAATATTTCATCAGGTTCAAATAAATATCCACACAACCCGGAAAAAAATCATAATATTTTGAATAAATATTAGTATGTCAAAAACAAGTATTACAACTAGGAAAGACAAGTATCCACAACACACAAACTAATATCTACTATTTGTACCCTAAACCCTAAACTTTAAAGTCTATCACCCTAATCACTAAACACTAAAAAAATAAAACAATTGCTGTTTTCCCAAGCTGAGAATATTCAAAGGTTCCACAAAAATATCCAAACACATGAACTAAGGGAATTTTTCCTCAGGTTCAAATAAATATCTGCACAGCCCGGATAAATATCCTCGGGTTCAAATAAACTCTATCACCCTAAACTCTAAACCCTAAACACTGAACCCTAAACCCTAAACAATCAACACTACTAAATAAACTCTAAAAACAATATAATTAGGAAAGAATAGATATTCATACTGACCAGACAAAATCCTAAACCCTAAAGAGAACCCAAACCCTTATGTTGAAACCTTAACCCTAACCTCTATACCGTAAACCGTAAACCATAAACCAAACCTAAACAATCAACCCTAAAAAATAAACCGCTCATCAATAAAAACTATTATTATTTAATGGGCCTTCGGCCTATGGGCCCTCGGCGGGCGGCCCTAACTAAGGTTGCAAGCCTTACGTGTTAGGACTTGATAGTGTGTAGGACTTGCTAGTGTGTTTAATTTGATGTAAGACACAATATTCTTTCACAAATTGAAAACCAGAACTCTAAACCCTAAAACTAATTCTCTAAATTGGTTTAATCAGTTTATGGTGGTTCGGTGATTTTGGGCCGCCGTTAAACATTAATACGACCCAAAATTTCAACAATGATGCAAAGCACTATCAACATAACAGAAATTAATATCCACCGAGAACAAATAAATATCCACACAGAATAACATACATAAATATAACATGGGCCCATCAAATTTGGTTCTCTTTCCACTCCTATCCATTCTCCCGCCCAAAACTCAAGCCGGGCCCACCAGTTTGCCAGCCACTTTCAGCCATTCTCAGCCGCCGCCACTTGCTGGGCTGGCTTCTACCTATTGGCCTACCTACAGCTCACTTAAGTGAGCCACGAAGAAGCCGCCTCTCCCCTCCATTGGATCAAACACCCACCGACGTGGCCCTTCATCCTACCCTGTTAGTATATGCTAACACTTTGCCCTGTTAGCAGAATAACTTCTGCGCTTTAGCATACCTATGAAAATTGAAAGGGGGAAAAAGAGTAGAGGCCTCCTTGTTGAGTGATAGAATAAACCAAAAAAAAATTGTACCAAGAAGACTCTAGCCCATTTTCGGTTTTGTTTTCATTGGGCTCGATTGCTTGCTAAGGGTGATATGATATGGGTAGTAGAGGTAGCTGCAGTGGCATGGGTGACGGGGATTCTGTATTGGGCCGAGGAGCTCGGGAAGGGCTCAGAGGCCCAATCCTAAGTATTGCCAACAGACCATGAGGAAGAAGAGGGCAGAACCCAGATAGTTAACAAACTGATTCCCATAAGAAAACCCAAAGCTCGCAACTGAAGAAAACAGAGCAACTTCAAACCCTTTGGCTGTCACTCCTCATAGTATTATCATTGTTATCATTCAAAATGGACATCGATCTTCTAGCTGCTAAACTCATAGACAGCAGCACGACTTGTAGCAGCAGCTACTGTTTGAACAACTAGGACAACAACCGTTCACCTTTGGACAGTTACTACAAGATAGACAAGATGATGCACTTTTCATTAGGCCACAACCGTTGCAGCTGCCACTCTTGCAAGTTGGTTTACCCCAACAACTACAACACTTGGAGTTGGAGTCGGATTGACGGTGGCCGCTGTTGTGACGCCGGCGGCAGGTGCAACAGGACAGGCATTTGGGGAGTTGAACGTGGCATTGGCATTCACCGAGGCAGCAAACCCATGGTAGACTGTTTCGAGGGAAGTTGCAAAACAATGCTACCACACATTAGTCGTATTTGTGTCGCATTTACATATATGTGGTGTCACAAAGACAAGCATTAAAAGGTTACATCCCAATAGTTATTTCCTCCTCTATCCGTCTAGGCTAATTGGGAATCATGTCCTAAAAGGCTAAAAGCAAGATGAAAACTTCATAAGCTCAATCAGTAAAAGAGGGGAATTTAGTTTACCATAGTTGCTTCCAGGAGAGGCAAGGCTTATGCAACTGATGAGGCTCCTCTTTTCTGCTTCAGTCAAGAAAGAAAGAACATAGAAAAGGGATTAAACCTAACCAACATTATCTGGTGCACATGAAGAACTCTTTGAATGAAGCAATTCAGTTGAAAAGTTGAAAGAAGTAGAGGCTTACATTGAGATGAAAGGATCCTGTCTACCATCAACATATTCATGAACCCTGTCAATCCCAAATGCAAACAAGTGTTAAGAATAGGAACTGATGCGGCATTTGCATTTTGCAGTGATGAAAAGCAGAGCAATGGAGGAAGAAAGATGAAGGCCTATCTGTCCTTACTCTCTACAGCACTTTGAAGCTGGTTGAAGGATTTCCACAGCTTTCAACTCTTCCTGTTTCATAAAGTGGGGGAAAATAATTTTCACTTTACCACCTTTAACTTGCAAATGATGTTTAAGTCATGGTACAACAGAGAACATGGTACAACAGAGACTTGTACAAACTCCAAGCTTAGTGTTGTCCTAAAAGGGGATAACTAGTTCTTCTTGACATAAACAAGGGGGGAAAAGCTATCTTCTCTCTTTTGGGTTCCACTACCAAATTCAGCTATAAGATGAAGAAAAGGCATGGACTTTGGTACATCACCACACAACCATGTCCCCCAAAAGGAATGCCTCTCAAGTCTCAAATCAGCATGCCATCACAAAGTGAAAACAACATACTATGGAGGCAAAAAGACGAGGCAAGCTTCAAATTGAATGAAAATATATGAATTACAAAAGCTAGAAGTAGAAGAAGGGAGGATGATTACTTACTTGAAGGAGGGCAATCTCTCTTTCCAAGACTTGAACCTTAACAAGCTGCCTTCTCTTGCCATACAAATCCAGTGAACCAGAAGGAGGGGACTTTGGGCTCACTGGCCCAACTACAACAACCCCAACTGACGAAGAAGACCCACTTGATGAAGCTCCTGATGATGATGAACATGATTTCAAACTCCTCCCATTTTCCATTCCTCCTTCAGGAAAATCAAAATCCCCCAGAATCCCAGAAGAGAAAAGGGAAGAATGAACGGAACCCAGAAGCCAAAATTTGTACTTTTGCAGCTAATTTAAGCCATATTACTAAGTTCCCAACTGCCAATCACTACATTTGCCTCTGAAACAAAAATGGGGTGAGTGAGTTATGAATGCAGCATAGTTAATTATCAATGGGGGGTTTTAAAAGCAAAGCTGATGGCCATAAGTCCGTGGATTCAGACTGAGAGAGGAGAGTAGAGAGAGAGAGAGAGAGGGAGAGAGGAAGACAAAATTTTGAAGTTTGCAGCAGCAGAACTGGGCATGGCTGCAGAACACACGTGACTGCAAAATGAAAGTCGTAAATAGGGAAAATGGTCCTGCAGCCGTTGTTATTTCTCACTTCCCTTTGCTTTCCACTATGTATTCTCCATGTTACACCTTGCAGCCAACTTGCTTACTTCACCGTAAAACAAGTTCTAAACTCCTAACGCTTTAACATCCACACAGAATACTTAATTACCAACACACCCTATCAGACGAAGTAACTTATAGGCCTGAAACTCGAGAAGTCTCATCTTATATGATGCTTAAATAATCTCTTAATGTTGAAGTACATATATTAGAGAGCAAGAGACCTATATCATAAAACATGACACACATTATTACGTCAAAAACCAGATCATCCAATCAGAGACTCAGAGTACCAACCTTTGCCATTCCAAGCTACAAAACATTACGATTAACTAAGCTTGGGTTCCTGTATTGAATCGTTACAATGACGAACAATTCAGAAAAAGATGTTTTTTTGAGGGTGCAGATATGAGAACGAGGGGAAAGGCAAAACAGAGAATCTTTCCTTCCCCTGCAACACGAAAGAAACTGCATAATTAAATTAATTGGTGGAAACTTGCAAAAGTGAGTAAACTAATGATTAAAAAGAACAGCAGGGTAGCATAGTATCAGTATCAGGCTATCAGCCATGAAGTTCTGACAGTGACACAGACGTTTCAAAGATATTGAGTGAGTGCTGTTTGTATTGTACTATGAACCAATTTAAAATAAGCCATTGGAGAATCTGACCTATGCATGCATGACATGTCATAGCTAGGAAACAAATACAGTATAAGCTCCAGACGACAGACAACAACAAACGTGCGCCTGTTGTTGTTGTGCATTCCCAATGGACACAGAAACTATTGCCATCCACAGAGAGAGAGAGAGAGAGAGAGAGAGAGCTTGTGAATCTCAAGCTGCCTGTCGTATTCCATGGCCACTCACAGCTATATCCCATATTCCCACCATCCTCACTAAATAGGGATTTGGTTCGGATGAACAAGGTAACGACTCATCGATGCAGTTCAATGAACTTTACAAGTATTGTTTGTATTGATGAAGCAATGAAGAAGAATTATGCACATCAATACAATTTATTTGTTCAATTGTAACACTGCTACAAATGCACCAAACCAACCTTACCTATAAACGACTAGAGAAATTAAAAAGCGAAAGATCTCAAGAAAAGACTGTTTTATTCAAAATACCCTGAAAGAATCCATCTATATACAACATGATAATATGATATCTCCCCATATATCAGCATATGCAGAATGACTTTGCTCAAAGGATCCAACAAGCAAGATAACTCTCAAGACTCTGCTCTTAAGAACAAGCCACTGTACAAAATGAGTTCACATAACAAACTACAACAGTACATGAGAAGAAGAGCTTAGCTCAAAATCAAGTCACTACGAAGCTTGTGACACCAGTCAGCCTCACGGTAAGAAAGACCAGATACATCACTATAAGCCCAAAGCCCAACGTCATATTAGGACGCATATCATTTCTAGGCAGCACGACGAGAGCCCAGAGCAACCCAGATACGAGAAATCCAATGGTCAAGAACAACGTGCCATCATGAGGGATCTCGTACGTACCGTTGCTCCTCGACCAGGCGCCCAATACCATTGAGGCACCCAATCCAATGAGTGTGTTGAACATTGGACCAGCATAGCAACCAGACATGGCAATCTGCAGACTGTCCCCACCGTTCATTGCCAGTGCAACGTTTGAGACCAGATCGCCCATGGAGTTGCCCCATGCCAGTACAGTTAGCCCCAAGATTGATGGATTGATTCTTAATATAGTACCAAATGCAACTAATAGAGAGACGAGCTCGTTTGCTATCATGTAGAACCAGACGATGCTCATCACGAACCCTCCTAGAACCCATGCTAATATAAAGGTCCGAGGAGGTCGATCAGGGAGGGTCTGCTGATAAGCTAAAATCCCAAAAGTGCAGCCGAGTGATATTCCGATTATATAACCGACGATTTTACTCGAAGGAGAGATATCCACTTGCGTACTCCATAGATATGCCATAAGAAGGGGAGCTAATGCTGCACTGCTGACTGCATATGGCTTTGACCATGTTTCATCGTCCACGAGTGGGATTGTCAGCCTCCTTGGTATTGTTAATGGCATCTCCATGATTGAAAACAATCGCGAATACGACAGCGAACACTTTCTCATCTCTGATCTCCCCTCACCATCATCATTCCATCCCCACGGCGACCTTTCCTCGTCCATAGAGTTATACTTCGAGGAGTAGTTCGAGAATATCGCCACGTTTGAAGCCCACATCCACGAGGGCAAAGAGGGTGGTAGATCATGTATGGCGTTTCTCTCGGTATCCACCTCGAGCAGAGAGCTGTAAACCGACCCTACATCTTCTTCCTCTCCCCCTATAGAAAACACACTTCCCCTGACAGGAATCAATGGTGTCACGGAATCCAACTTCAACCTCTGAGCATGTTTCCTCAAGAGCTCATTAGCAGCTACAAAGAATGCATACACCACATAGATAAAAACAAATGCAATTGCAGCTGTAACAGTCACTCTACCAACCATCAAAATCGTCAGCAACGAGAAGAGAGCAACGAGGAAGAAACATATGTCCCTGACAAAACATCTCCGATCAATCTGCACTTCCTTCCCCGCCACACACAATGAGACAGCACCAACTACAACAGAGGTCACAAACACAGCACCTCCCAACACGCTATTGAGCCCCACGCCACCCTGATTCTCTCCGAGGAACGCAGCGATGCTTGCAAACACATCGGGAGCTCCATTCCCAAGCGGTAGAAGGGCCACACCAGCAACAGTAGGGGGAAGCTTCAATAGACTCGAGAGCTTTTCCAACGAGCGACAGAAGTAATCAGCAGCAGTGTTTCCCAGCAGGTAGAACAATGCAGCAAGCCAGATTCCCAGTACAAGAAACCCCAGCCATCTGAAGTTGCCACAATCACAGTACAAGAAATGAACGTAATCGAAGAAGCCATCAGAGAAGCATTGTGGATTGGCCTTCAAGAAGGCGCATTGGTTTGCGTACCCCTTGTGATCAATCACATCTCGACATTCATGTGGCAAGCTGTTTGTATCCTCCAAGCTGGTCTCCCATACATGAGTCCAGTTTCCTGAACTTGGGGAAGGCGAATTCGCATAGAGTTCGGTCATCTGCCTACGAACCAGTTCAACCCGACTAACCCCATTACTCGAAATAGCTCCAAGTTCCCAACTTCCACTATCAGGAATGTTCGCAATCAAACCTCCCCGGTTGGATAACAAGATAACCATTATCAGCGCGCATAATCCATTGAAAGCCCCTCTCAATTTGGGGACTTTGGCGCTATTCTTTGACCGACCGATAACATTCATCTCGAATTCCCGCCTCTGATTCTAGTAAGAACAGCTAATTCCAATCGAATTCAACAACGAACAAATCCCTAGGGTCTCATTTGCTTAAATGAAACCCTAGATTTCGGCCTGGGGACCGACGACGCCGCGGAAAAGGTGCGAGCTTCAAGGAAATTCGAGGACTTACCCGTTGAAGTTGATCGCCGATGAAGAGTTCGTAGCTGGGTTTTGGGATTTCCGGATGAGAAATGGAGAGCTGATGAAATCTTTTTTGGGCGATTATGGAATTTGCGGGGTTTTTCCCGGCAAAGTGGGTACGGGTTCAATTTCTGCGTTCGGGCCGGACTCTTCTCGCCAGTCGCCACATATCCGAGAGAGCTCTTTAAATAATTTCTTTCACAAATGCAACAACATTTTTTTTTTGAAATGCCTAAATGCAACAACATATTCTAATACCCAAGTTAGAAACTTTCAAGGGCAGTCAAACTAATTAATATCGTTATAACGGTTTAGTATGTGGTATAATACAATAAAATGTAATCTATTTGTATGCCAGTTTTTGCCTGTTTTACCAAAACATACGAGGAAGTTTCTAACAAGACTTCCCGCTTCGGCCAAGGAGTTTTGTTGCTTAATCGAAGACATATTCAAAGAAAAGAATCTCAACTCGGCGATTTTGGCCAAACGAATTCAGGACAGGACAATGATTGTCCAACATTCACACCGAAATGAGCAGAAGAGTAATACAACCAAACCCACTGTAGAAAATGTAGAGAGGGCAGAAGTTTGATCGAAAACCCGCAAAGCAAACAGCTGCAGGGTTGTTCGCCTTTTATATCACTTTCCGAATTTACTGTTCTGCAACGGTAAATAAAACAGAAATCCAAATTCACCTAAACACGTGGTGAAAGACTATAGGCTAATGTGGAACCAACTCCACTACATAATGAAAACGACGACGCGTCTCGGACGAAGGCTCGAAACGTTTCCCATACAACGAATCGTCTTCAAGTCCGAAACGCGTTCTTCAGCTGTCTTCTCCAATTCAAATCGATCAGCTCATTCCAGCTCTGCATCCTGCTTCGCCTTCATGAACCTCGACTTCGTCTTCCTTATCATCTTGACAGCCTCCCTCAAGCTGGAGTGCACTAACTCCAAGCTTGTACAGCAATTCATGAATCCTGTACCTGCTCAAGGCTTTAGTAAATAGGTCTGCAACCTGATCAATAGTTCGAATATAAACCAATTTTATCAACCCAGATTTCACTCTTTCACGAGTCACATGAATGTCAATTTCAATGTGTTTCGTCCGTTCGTGAAATACTGGATTATCCGCGATGTGAATCGCTGATCTGTTGTCACAGAACACAGTAATGGGTAACTGAACTTCAACACTCAACTCGGCAAGCAAACCTTTCATCCACTGCAACTCACACACAAGCTGAGCCAAGGCTCTATATTCAGCTTCTGAAGATGAACGTGAAACTGTGGTTTGCTTCTTTGCTTTCCAAGTAACCAATGAGCTTCCAAGAAAAGTACAATACCCACTAACTGACCTTCTCGAGTCTGGACAACTAGCCCAATCAGAATCGCTGTAACCTGACAGCTTCAAATTTGAATCACTCTTGAAATGTATCCCCTGACTTGGTGATCCCTTAATGTACCTGAGTACTCTGTATGCAGCTTGCAGGTGTCCTGTATAAGGCTCCTTCTGGAACTGGCTGAGTTGCTGCATAGGGAAGGTTAAATCAGGTCTAGTGGTGGTTAAGTAATGCAACCTCCCAACTAGCCTTCTGTACTGCTCAGGATCTTCAAGTGGATCACCTTGTTTGGCCCTTAGTGTAACCTTTGGATCAAGTGGTGAAACACATGGTTTTGCATCCTGGTATCCAGTATCCTTCAGCAACTCTAAACAATACTTTCGTTGACTCACTGCAATTCCATCACTGCTTCTAGTAATTTCAAGGCCTAGGAAGTACTTCAACTGTCCCAGATCCTTGATCTTGAAATTCTTACTGAGATACCTCTTTACTTCCTCCACATCTTCTCTACTGTCACCTCCCACAATTATGTCATCTACATACACCAACAGCACAACAAAGCGTCCATGAACCCATTTTGTAAACATGGAGTAGTCTGAAGCAGACTGTGAAAAACCATGTTGCAGCAGGGAAGAAGTCAATTTTGCAAACCACTGACGACTTGCCTGCTTGAGTCCATATAAAGACTTTCTCAGTCTACACACAAGTTTTTCAGGACCTTTTGCCCTTGGATCCCCTGGTGGCAACACCATATACACTTCTTCTTCAAGGTCTCCATGCAGAAATGCATTGGAGACATCCATCTGATCCAACACCCATCCTTTGGTTGCAGCCACTGCTAGTAAAGCCTTGACAGTGTTGATTTTAGCCACAGGTGAATAAGTATCTAGGAAATCTATACCATAAACCTGTGTAAAACCCTTTGCCACTAGCCTGGCCTTGAACCTTTCAATACTCCCATCTGGTCTTCTTTTGATTTTGAACACCCATTTGTTACCAATAGCTCTCTTGCCTTTAGGTAAAACAACTACATCCCAGGTATGATTCTCTTCTAAGGCTTGAGTTTCTTCATTCATTGCCCTATTCCAGTGCTCACTAGCTGCTGCTTCTTGATAAGTGGTTGGTTCCACTTCATGAAGTACACTCAAAATGTAACTTCTGTCAGCTGGAGAAAGCTGATCAAGTGTCAAGTATTGTTCCATGGGGTACTTACTGACACTTCCAACTTGGTAATCATCAAATCTGGCTGGCATTTTCCCTCTATTAGCTCGAATGGGTCTGCCTTGAAACTCTTCTTGCAGTTCCAACTCAGGTGGATCATTACCATCATCAACAGAATCAATATCATTGGCAGCACTAGGAGAAGTATCAGGGAAAATGGTGTGACCAGGATGAGAAGTAATGGAAGGGTTGGTAGAAGAAGGAGAAGGAGAAGAAGGGGAAGAAATTGTGGGAGACATTGAGGGAGAAGTAGAAGTGGAAGGACTGGCCCCCCCTGATCCCTCAATGGGAGAAGTGTTAGGCTGGTAAACTGGTATGCTGTTTGGTGCAAAAGATGGAAAAGTGGGAGGTGGAACAGCTGGAGAAGGAGGTTGATCAGAAGAGGAAGAACGGAAAGGAATGATGGTTTCATGGAAAACAACATTTCTGGAAACAAAAACCCTCTTATTATCCAGGTCCAAGAGAGTATAACCTTTAATCCCAGCAGGAAAACCAAGGAAAACACATTGTGTTGACCTGGCCTGGAATTTTGTTCGTCCATGAACCAAAGTAGATGCATAGCAAAGACAACCAAAGACCTTTAAAACATTGAGATCAGGAGGTTTTTTGAAGAGCAGTTGATAGGGAGAAGAGTTGTTAAGAACAGGTGTGGGAAGCCTGTTAATTAGGTAAACTGAATGGAGGATACAGGCACTCCAAAATTTCAAAGGAATCCCTGATTGAAACCTTAAAGCACGAGCTACATTGAGAATGTGCTGATGCTTACGCTCCACTCTACCATTCTGCTCGGGTGTCTCAACACAGGAAGTTTGGTGTTCAATGCCATGACTTCTGTAGTAATCAAACATGTGAAACTCATTGCCCTGATCACTACGAATGATTTTAACTGACTTTCCAAACTGCTTTTCTACTAACTGACAGAAACCTTGCAACAATTCACGAGTTTCACCCTTTGAATGCATCAAGTAAACCCAAACTGCTCTACTGAAATCATCCACAATAGTTAGGAAGTAACTATAGCCATCATAAGATTTAACTGACAAGGGGCCCCAGATATCAACATGAATGAGTAAAAATGGTTCAGAAGCTGTCATATCATTAACTGGAAATGGAAGTTTGCGTTGTTTGGAAATATGACAGGTCTCACAATGAGAAACAGATTCATTGTGAGTTACACCATGTTGTTTCAGAAGAAGATTAAATCTATCTCTACTGGGGTGTCCTAAGCGCCAGTGCCAAAGATTAATGTCTTGTGGTTGAAGGTTGTAGGTGAAGGCAGCTTGATGAGAAGAAGAGGAAACTGAAGTGAGTGGCAAGAGAGTGGAAAGATCAAGAAGGTAGAGCCCTTTACTTTGTTTTGCCAAACCAATGCTCTTCTGGGTCTGATGGTCCTGGAGTTCACACACAGAAGAATGGAAGTGCAAAGATAAGGGTAAGTCTGAGGTTAACTTGCTAATGGAAATGAGGTTAAAAGTGAAACTAGGAACGAGTAGGACATTTTGCAAAACTAGACCAGAAGGGAGTTGAACTGTTCCTACATGGCTCACTAGGACTCTTTGACCATTAGGCAAGTAAACAAAGGTGTTGAGGACTTCAGAGGAATCAGTGAAATGATCAAAACAGCATGTTATATGATCTGAGGCCCCAGTGTCAAGAATCCAAATATTGCTCAAGGCTGACTTATTCAGTGTACTGTGTGAAGAAAGAATAAACTTACCAGCATGATTGGGAAATGCAGGTAAGAATTGAGACACAGAATAAGCTTTAGGAGTAATCCTTGGTGAGCTACCTGGTGACAAAGGCCCAGAATCCATGCCAAATTGAAGAAGAGTCTTAAGCCGTGTGATTTCATCAGTGGAGAAAGCATTCACACCCTTAGAAGGACTTGAACCATCATCAGAGATACTACCAGTACTTTCAGAAGAAGGGGCTGTACTGTCAGTAGAAATAGAGCCAGAAAAACCTTCTTTCTCTTGCTCCTTCTTCTTCAACTTCCAGCAATCTTTGATGGTGTGATCTGTACGTTTACAATATCGACAAAAGAGCTTCCCTGAACCTGTCTCCTGCCTCCCTCTGTACTGATCCCTTCCAGATTGATTACCAACAGCCAAGGCAACAGACTGACTGTGTTTGGACTTGGTCTGATCCCCTTTTAGCTTTTGTTCATGCAAAAGCAGATCATCAACAGCAGCGGTAACTGTGGGTAAGGGCTTCATCATGAGTAATTGGGTCTTAACAACTTCATACTCCTTGTTAAGCCCCCTCAAGAAACGGATCAGATAGTCAGTTTCTTGCTTAGTTTGAAAAGCAACAACAGCAGGACAGGGATTGGGGTTATTAGGAGCACAAGGACAGGGAACAATGGGTGAAAATTGCAGATAATCCTCCCAAAACCCTTTGATCTCAGTATAGTACTGAGTAATTGTACGATCACCCTGTTTACAAGCATGAATGTCATCTTCTAGATTGATAATACGCAACGCATTAGGTTGCCCAAACCGCCTCTTCAACTCTTCCCAAAGAATGCGAGCATTCTCATGATTCATAACACTGCGAGCAATTTCCTTCTTCAAGGAATTGACAATCCAACAAAGAACAACGGTGTTACAACCATCCCACAGGTGAAAGGTGTCGCTACCAGCTGGGGGAACAGGGATAGACCCATCAATGAAACCCAGCTTGTGCTTGGTTTTCAACGCCAAACGCATAGAGCGACTCCACATAGAATAGTTAGTACCATCCAGAGCCTCAGCAACGAGCGACTGAGACAAATTTTCGTTGGGGTTAAGATAGAAAGGGTTACCGAACTGGATCTCACCTCTGCCTCCCTGAACCTGATTCTCAGTGAAGCTGCCGAACTGAAAACCACCAGCAGCGGTAGAGCCACTGCCACCGCCACTGCCACCAGGAGAAGGCGTGTTAGGAGTTCCGGTAGCCATGGATGCCGAGATTCAGATCTATGGCTCTGATACCATGTAGAAAATGTAGAGAGGGCAGAAGTTTGATCGAAAACCCGCAAAGCAAACAGCTGCAGGGTTGTTCGCCTTTTATATCACTTTCCGAATTTACTGTTCTGCAACGGTAAATAAAACAGAAATCCAAATTCACCTAAACACGTGGTGAAAGACTATAGGCTAATGTGGAACCAACTCCACTACATAATGAAAACGACGACGCGTCTCGGACGAAGGCTCGAAACGTTTCCCATACAACGAATCGTCTTCAAGTCCGAAACGCGTTCTTCAGCTGTCTTCTCCAATTCAAATCGATCAGCTCATTCCAGCTCTGCATCCTGCTTCGCCTTCATGAACCTCGACTTCGTCTTCCTTATCATCTTGACACCCACCTCAACCTATCGCCGTTAAAATAAAATCAACGGTTTTATTAATGATTATGTGTTCTATGTTGAAAATGAACCGATGATGAGATAATGTGAATGTAGATTTGTATGCTTCAGATTGTGAACACACCCATCATGTCATCAGTCTTATCTATTTTCATGTGCTTCCATCCTTCTTTTGTATTTTGGCCTGCCTGGTGTCTCGCAATTTAAAGGTTAGACGCTAGGACACTCCACTGCGCTAATAACAAATGAAGGGGAAATGGCTTATAGTCGCAAAAAGCCAAATCACCTTTCTTGTTTCTACCAAAGCTCAATAATGTAATCCGAAAACTTCTCACAGAACTGCACGTCTCTATCGCTTTCTCTCCTTTCTACTCCATTTATACTTTCAGCTCCATCTCTTCCCTTCCCTCCGCCTTCTAACCACTGCCACTCTGCCAGAGATCACTGACTGGCTGCTCAGAACTTCTCGATTGAAGGTGAGAAAAGAAAATCCCTTGAATTGATCACTGATCTTTTGTGTTGATCCTTTTCGAGTTGGGTCTGGGCGAAAGTTTGGGTCTTTGAGTTTCGTTTTCTATTTATCGAGCCAATTCATGAACTGGGTTCCGTTTGTTTGTAGACACTGGAAATGGGGTTCGAAAAGAAAGAGTATGAATTTCTGGAGGAGATCGGGTTGAGCTCGAAGAATGTTGGCTGCTACGTTAATGGAAAGTGGAAGGCCAATGGACCTGTGATCACCACTACGAACCCTGCAAACAACCAGGTAAATGGAAGAAGGGGAAAAAAAAGCGTTTTTGAGATTTTCTGGTTGTGAACTTTGTGGATCAATCATGAATTATTTTTGCCTCGTTCTGCATTTGAGTTCCATTTCCCATTTCTGTTGGAATTGTGCGTGGTTGAATCGAACATGCCGTTTTTAGTTGGATTAATATATGATTGTTTGAATTTGGAATCAGCCTATTGCTGAAGTAGTGGAGGCTTCGTTGCAAGACTATGAGGAAGCGTTGCGAGCTTGCAGTGAAGCAACTAAGACATGGATGCAGGTATATAGTAGCTTGGTGATCACTGAGAGATACCGCCTGTTCTGTTGGGGTATGATCAAGGCATCTCAGTTACATATTGATTGGTTTTCAGGTTCCTGCGCCCAAGAGAGGTGAGATTGTTAGACAGATTGGGGATGCACTGAGAGCCAAGCTTCAGCAGCTCGGTCGTCTTGTTTCTCTTGAGATGGGAAAGATACTACCAGAAGGAATTGGAGAAGTTCAAGTATGCGCCTTTAATATGTTTGTAGGGTTATAATCATGGTGGCATTGTGATCTATTGTGGTTCAGGAGAGAAAAGGCTGTATGTTATTGGAAGTTTAACTTCATGGCATTTACGTCTACAGGAAATTGTCGACATGTGTGATTTTGCTGTGGGGCTAAGCAGGCAACTGAATGGATCAGTAATCCCTTCAGAGCGTGAGTCCTATCATTTAGTACTTATTTATTTCTTTTGTTTGTGTGAGTCCTATCAAAGGTATACCTCAAATGTGTCAAGGTGATGATATGCCTTCAGGAATGACCTTTTTTATTTCTTTTTACCAGGTCCCAACCACGTCATGTTGGAGGTATGTGCCTTACCACATGTTTCAAACTGTATTAAAATGTTGATGAGACTCTTTTTTGCTAAAATGAATCACTCGAATTCCCCTGGATAGATGTGGAACCCACTTGGAATAGTTGGTGTCATCACTGCTTTCAACTTCCCGTCTGCTGTTCTTGGTAAGCATTGTGATTTTCTTGCTTAAAGTTCGCTTTGCTTTGCTTTCCAGGGCATTGTTTTAGTGTAGATTTCAACTTTCCGCCCATAATCCCTGAACAATAATCTACATTATGTCATTTTTGTAGGATGGAATGCTTGCCTTGCTCTAGTCTGTGGTAACTGTGTTGTATGGTAAGCCATGATATTATTTCCCATAGTTGCAATCTTAGCAACATCAATGTGTTTTCTAGTCAAGATCGTTGTCACCTCTAATCCATTAAGTTATTTTGCCTCTATTTCCTTGACAGGAAAGGTGCGCCAACTACACCTTTGGTCACCATTGCACTGACGAAGCTTATAGCCGAGGTGTTAGAGAAGAACGAGTTACCTGGTGCAATATTTACGTCCTTGTGTGGTGGTGCTGAAATCGGACAAGCAATAGCAAAAGACACTCGCATTCCTTTGGTATCTTTCACCGGGAGTTCAAAGGTACATCTCAATTCTTGTTTATTTATGCTTCATAATTAATAATATGTTAATTGTCTGTTAATTTGTCTTGTTGTTCCATAGGTTGGCCAAATAGTGCAACAGACGGTGAGTCAGAGGTTTGGCAAATGCTTGCTCGAATTGAGTGGTAACAATGCCATTATCATCATGGATGATGCAGACATCCAGCTGGCAGTCCGTTCTGTGCTCTTTGCCGCAGTTGGAACAGCTGGTCAGCGGTGCACAACATGCCGTCGACTGGTAACATTCAAGTTATTTAGTTTGTTGTTTTCATCAATAACACGGGAAATTTCTTACTGAACTGTTTGGTTGTTCATAATGTTGAAGCTTCTTCATGAGAGCATCTACAAGAAAGTACTTGATCAGCTAGTTGAATCGTACAAGCAAGTTAAGATCGGTGATCCGTTGCAGAAAGGTATCTTGCTTGGACCACTGCATACTCCCGAATCACAGAAGAACTTCGAGAGGGGAATGGAGCTCATCAAGTCTCAGGTTCGTTTGGTTTTCTCTGTTTCCACATGTTAAGACGTTGAATTGGAACTAGACAACTCTTTGTTAGGAGAAATGAATTTACTTTTCAGTTTTCAGGTTAATCATATTTTTGTTCATATACCATATTGTTTCCATTCAAATATGTAACTGTTGGGGTTGATTCATGCTTCATAAGCATGTCCTAGATCCCATGCTGGAATTATATCCTTATAATATGCCGATTATATGTCATTAGTTCTTTACTTACTATTTTTATATGATTCATTGCTGTGAAACAGGAATAATGGCGTGTTTGTGAAACACTTTATAAGTTTACTGTTGGTTTACAGGGAGGGAATATTCTAACAGGAGGATCAATCATAAAATCCGATGGGAATTTCGTGCAACCCACGATCGTCGAGGTTGCTCCAACAGTACTTGCAGTTAAAGAAGAGTTATTTGCCCCAGTTCTCTATGTCATGAAATTTAAGGTAGGCTAATTTAATCTCCTTTCCAACACTTTCATATTCTGATATCATGTACTGGTGTATAGGGGGATATTCTAAACTTTGAACACTTATTTGCAGACTTTGGAAGAGGCTATTGAAATAAATAACTCGGTGTCTCAAGGATTGAGTAGTTCCATCTTTACCCAGAAACCACAAACAATCTTCAAATGGCTTGGGTGAGTCATGAGATCGTGGAATCGATGGTGTTGTGATTTCCGTTCCATTGCTTAGTTATAAAAGATAATGATTTTGTTCTGGCTTTGGCAGCCCACTGGGGAGCGACTGCGGCATTGTGAATGTGAACATACCCACAAATGGTGCAGAAATTGGCGGTGCATTTGGTGGCGAAAAAGCCACCGGAGGCGGGCGTGAAGCTGGAAGCGATTCGTGGAAGCAGTACATGCGGCGATCAACTTGGTAACTTTGCTTTCTTGCCTTCCTGTAGCTCCTATTAAGATCAGTCATCATTGGCTCCTTAGGATAGTCTTCTTCCTACCGTTTTCCTCATGTGTTCTAATGGATTGAATGCCTAAATGATTACTGAGCTATTATGTTTGTGTAAAAAATGGTCATTAAACTAAAGTTCTAAGTAAATGATGATTATACTGATAATTACAAAATCAATAAGTTCTGGTAAAAGGCTTGTGACCGTTGTGACCATTTATGCATCAACCCCGTTCTAACTTGTAAGTAGGTGTGATGTCTGCCTGATACTTTTCCAATGGTTCCCTGCAGCACTATCAATTATGGAAGCGAATTGCCTCTGGCTCAAGGAATCAATTTCGGCTAATCGGCATATGATTCTGTTCTGCACCTGTTATGATGGCACCCCAGTCCAGCCTGGTTGATCTGAACCTGTCTAGAACAGATACTTGTGCTGCAGAACTTTGATCAGAGTGGATTTCCCCTGCAAACAAAACGGTATCATGTTGTGAGAATAAGAGATGTGTATGCTCAATTATATAGATATTGTCATTCTCTTTAATGTAAGCTATGGAGCTGGTCTTTTTGCAAGACCATATTGGACATGGAATGTTATAAGATTTCTAAAAGGGGTTGGTCAAGACTATATTTCATCTCCATTCCCCAAATGCCTATCAAGATATTCAAGTCTATAACACCCTTTTGCTTGCCTTTGAATCTCCAATATTTTCTGGGATTCTGTAACCATGTAAGCAGAATATGAAGACTGGATCCAGGGATGGTTTGCTGCTTCTTTGGCCATTTTCCCCGAGGAATCACATAGAAAGGGGAGAGGGATGAATCCAAATGTAGAATTAAACAAAGAAGAGTTAGAATAGCATATGACATCAAATGAAGTTCTAAAGGTATTGCAAAGGAAGGGCCAAGTAAGCAAAAGTGCTGCTCTTTTCCAATTAGCACAACACCAAAGCTTAATTAATAAATAATTACATCTCCATATATGTTAATTAACTACTCTATCTCCCTGCTTTTCCTGAAAGTTCTATGAATAATACCAAGAAAGGTAGGGTCATTATCATTGTTCTGAAGCTAACTAGTCAACAAAAGACCAACTTAATTATTAAAAAAGGGGGTGATTGTTGTGATTGACATCACCTAATTCATTGGATTGGCAGGTTTCACCTGTCTACTTAATCAATATACATTACTTCTTTCCCCTGCCTACTTGGGTTCAATCATTGAGCTTAATTAAAGGAAAAGAACAGAAGAAGAGCTAGCAAGATTCATGTGGGTGGGTAGCACTTGACCAAACCAGCCCTTCTAGTTAAGTGGTGGGGTGGGTTAGTTGCATTTGATGGTTGGTTAAATGTGAAAGCTTTGTTCTCATTTAATCGACTTTCATTTTAGACGAGTTTAATATCTTTTAAATATCCTTTTTGACATATTATTTTTGCGAATTTTTTCAATTTAGGCGGGCAGCGACGCAAGAGGAGGTTCGGGAGGTTTGCCGCTGCGTAGGTCTCGAAAAGTTGTGCGAAATAAAAAAAAAGTTTGCGTCAATCGGACAACCGAGCGCAAAGTTATGGCCGTCAAACCGCCAAGCCCGATCCTACCAGAAGCGAGTTACTAGGAGATATACAAAGGAGCACGAGAAGTTGGCGGGTGCGATCATACCAGCACTAATGCACCGAATCCTTTCTGTTGAAAATAAAATTACATTTCATAAGTTGTTTCTGTATTTTAGACCAATTACTTTGTTCCACTTGCTATTCGTAATTAAGTCAAATCCCTCTGTTATATCTTATTGAGTCATATTTCACGATATCACTGTATGAAAAATCATAGTTGACAATAGAAATTTCTATATGGTAATGTCAAACCGCGATTGGAAATACTTGAATACATAGTAACGAATGAGAGATCAGACTACAATATATAATGAGAGTCCACTCAACATGTGATTGTCCCACTTAGAACTAACCCTCCTTAATATATGTTTTCATCAATATTGACTAACCCACTCTCTTATTCTCGAGATTGCGTTTAGATTTACAACAATTTTCCTTTTACTCGGATTGTTAACTATTTGTACATATGGTCGTATTGACATCCTTCCCCAGTAGCATCGCATTGCACGCTATTGCATCACATGTCCTCACCAAGACGAATTCGGATGAGAGAACTCTATAGTGTGTTTGGTGTAGATCTCTGATCATGTGGGCGCTCTTGATGATCAGTTTCTGGAAAGGAAGATCTCAGATGCAGTCAAGTAATGAAGTGACTAACATTTAATACATGTATTGCAGTACCAAAATCGAGTCAAAGAAAGGGGGGAAGAGACCAAAATTGATGAATATACAGATGGAGCTAGCTAGGGCATTCATTTCCCATTAGTACATAGTATAGTAGTAGGCAGATGTGGGGCTACTTGGTAGAAAAATCCATGCACGTATTATTGTTCTGTCCCTTTCACATTTCTTCATGCATTAAATCGGAGCAACATACACTTGGTCATGTTATAAATTGTTTCGACTTTTATGATTAGCATACTCAATCAATATCAATTTTTGAAACATAAAAACACTTCTAAAAATCGTACCAAACAGAGTCAACATATATAAAAACACCCGAAGAACACCCAAATCGAATGAAACCAACAACAAAATTAGATAAAAAAGAAGTGAAATGATGTGAAAAATATAACTTATCATTTAGGAGATAAGATGGGATAAGCATCACATAACTTCACACCCACAAAACCTTTTCTTCCTTTTTGTTTCCATCTCAAATCTTTGGATGAGCATGCTTGAGCTAGCTAATCCATTTCTTGTCATTTAGCACACAAGACAAGCTGGACAAACTACTTAAACATCTGAATGTCTCATCAGTACTATCAATTCATCATGATAATTAATCATCATCCTTGTGCCTCTGAAATTGCTTTACTTCTTGGTGGTGCTCACGATGATCAGGCGCCGTTTTTGACCATTCATCATCAGAAGCATATAAAATATGTAGGGTGTACTTCGATTTGGAAATGATTATGAATGTATTTTTGTTTAATTATGTGTTGTTAACTTGTTATATGAAGTGTATTTGTAAAAATATTGTTACTAAAGAAAGGGGAGACTTATTTTTTAAATTCACATAATCATCTAAGACCCGTTTTGGGTTTTCCAAACAATAACTTCAAAAGAAGATATACAACTATGTTACTCATAAATACATCAATGGTAGTGATTGCAATTTGCATCCGACTTATCTTACATGATTCACGTTGGGACAAATAATATCTGAATCGCAGTAGCATGGACGAGCATTAATATTACTTCATACATTGTCCCGTCCCGTTCTGTCTCATTCTTGACCCTTCCTATTCAGATCTTGCTGATCAATATTTATTTGTATTTATCCTATTATGTACTTTTTCAATCACATTTTAATCTAATGAAACTTAAAATAAGTGCAAGGGTTGGCCTTTCAATCAATTGGACTTAACTTATCATCAATTATCTCTATTTTGTCATACATTATGTGTTTTCCCCTTTTTATTATATTTAAAATTTACATTTTTATATTTATTTATTTATTTCATATAATACGTGAGATATGTGATTTCAATTCATATTCATACGAATATAACCGACTTGATTCGCGCTTGGTGCCGAGCGAGTATGAGATTGACATATTGATCACCCAATTATCAATGACATGGATACAAAGAATGTAGTCAGGGAAACTAAGAAAGAATGTTGTTGAACCTTTTAGAGTTATAGGTATAATATCTCCTCTACTATGTATTTTTATCAAACATGCCCCTTTACTATTTTTTACATTAAATATGCCCCTGTACTTTGGAAAAATTATCAAACATGTCCATATATTAAAATTTCCATTAAAATTGGTCAACCACGGTTGAACCGAGATTCACACGACCCGACATAAAAAAAATGGGGGTGAAATATAAGTTTTTCCTCCTCATTTATTTCTCCATGTCTCGTTAAAGTGAAATTATAAGAGGTATTTGGCTATATAAAAGAAACAAAAAATTCTAAAGTGAAATTATTAGAAATATTTTAGACATAGGTGTCGCCCAAACCAAGATTCGACTATGGTTGATGGTTTTTAGATACAAATTTTAACAGAAGGGCATGTTTGATAGTTTTTACAAAGTATAGGAGCATGTTTGATGTATAAAATAGTAGATGGGCATGCCTGATAAAACTGCATAGTAAAGAAGTATATTATGCCTATTATAACCCAACCCTGTAAATCAACTAATATGGTTTTAGTTCACATTTCACAACAAAGTTTGCTTAAGCAAGCTTCTTTTTCAATAAAAAGAGACATATGTTAGGTCAGCTACTACTCTATACATGTGAAAGTGGGAGGAGGTAAGAGACAAGAAAAAGGCAAGTTTTCTAGTTTCTAGTTGCAATAATTGGTGGAAGACTCTAAACTCCTTAGAGGAATATTTGTTTGGGACTTTTTTGGGGCTCTAGGAAAATATAGGCACCTAAAAAGGTTTCATAATATATTCCCTTGACAAATGTGAGAAAAAAAAAAGACCCATTGCAATTATATAGTTAATTTCCTATGAGAATTCTGAGCAAAGAAGGGGGGATATTCATTTCCTTTCATTCTTTTCAGCAACAAGCCAAGCTTGGTGAATAATGTCTTCAAACGCCGTTTCCTTCTTGTTGTGAAATGAACTAACCAAAAGCTCCATAAAGTAAGAATAGTATCAACAATAATATTGAGACACCAGTTATTTCTAGCCTAAAGGTTAATGTTTATTCTAAAATCGAGTTAACTATGGTAATTACATAACAATATATATAACTGCAAAATGGATAATGTGGGCATCATCAAATACCAAAGGTACCATTATGATGCATTGATAATCATGAAGCATGGTGTAATCTTGTGTCCTTAGTTATTTTTTTTTCTTTGTCCAAAAGTAATCGTGGGAGAATACTGATCATCACCTGTGAGTTAGAGGTTGGATCAAATTATATGCAACTGATTCTTAATTTTGATTCTTACAAGAGGTGTATAGTTCGCGAAGTTCAACTAATTTTTTTACATAATTCAGATTTGATGTGGACAACCCCATAACGCATGTATATATGGTGTCTACTTCGGTGCAATCAATTTTTAGGTGCATTGCATTCAATGCACTAAACTCTAAAAGTAGCCATAAGACATCAAATTTTGAATTTTAACTCATAACATTAGTCTAGTATGATGATATAATATAGAATCACAACTAATCAATGCATTATCCTAAGTTCTAAACCTTCAATTTTGAATCCCAATCGTAAACCCTAACCCTAAATCCCTAAACTCTAAATCATTCAATTTAAAGTAAATCTTGAATGGTTTTTGTACAAATTCATATGCTTTCATGTCCATCATATCACAAGTGATGATTGATATCGTTTTCACATGAATCGTCTGCTCAGAATGATAATTATGAGATGAGTGCATAGAATACACACAAAAAAAAAGTGAGTGCATCGAAGATATAACCATATATATGAGAGAGGAGGAAACTTATTTAGTATGATGTAGTATCCTCCTCTTTGCACTCCTTCCATATTTCCATGGTTACAAAGAAAGATTGAGATGGATGCTTTCATTGTAGCAAGGACGAGAGAGAGAGAGAAGAGTAATGTAGCTAGCTAGTACAGTTTTATTTTTCATGCATGGCTATATACATGATGATCATTCATCTCTGGCCCATTTCTTTGTCATACCATCATTAAATTCTGGCTGTCCTCTTGTTTTTCCTTCGTACCAGCAGTGTACATATCCAATTTCCTAGACTAATAAGGGGGGCACACTTTCAAGTTTCAACTTTGATAGATCATATGCATCATTGTTGGTTCTAACTGGTTATAATTGATTTGTAAATTCTACGTATATAAATTTCTAAACAAAGGTCTGCAAATGATTTGTTACAACTTATTAATTCTTTGTTGGGTTGGATACATCATATGCATCCAGCTGCAGGTGCGAACTTACTTGTTGGCAAGAGCTAAGGGGTGTCGTCCGACATCCTTTCGTCCGAAAATTTTGTGAACAACCTAGATTTTATTGGTACAAAAAATTTTAATACGAACTTTTAGAACCTCTTTAATAATTATAGTTGATACTCCTTCATTAGACGACACCCGTTTTCAACAATCATGGGTCCGCTTGTATGCATCATTGACATTTTTGTTAACTCAAATTGGATTGGAGCAAAATTGAGCGAATTAGGTCAAATTTTTGCTATACTGAAGAATGATTGGCTCGAGTGATTTTATAAATGACGATCTTAAATTTTCCTAATCTACTAAAGTGAGTAGCTATTTTCTCATTTGGAGGGGCATTTTCTTTGAAGGATACCCAAATAATCTTTGGTAAATCATGGGTGAATGAGGACAGTGCCGGACCCAGAAATTTTTCATAAGGATGTCATCTTTTAAAAATAAAATAAATAAAATAATTAATAAAAAATAAAATCTTAAATTTGAAATACCTTACTCGTATAGGTTAAAAAAAGTTCATAATTTGTTTTCATATTCGAAAATAATTGTAGAATACACTTGGTGTCTATAGTGTTAAAAAAAATTGTCTCTATATACCCTACTAGACAATCATTCACGAACTTATCGTATATTCGATTTGTAAACTTGTTCTCGATGTAACCCAAAGCTGAAAGACTCTTTCAACACTTGTCGTATTAAGGGTAGGTTGAAATTAGTTTAATTGTTAGGTTTTTAAAATAATTAGAGATAGGAAATGACATTTTACTATTACATTGTTCAAAATCGAACAACAAATGAGTTGTAGGTCAACGAAAATTAAGTTTATTAATAAGAATAGTGTTCTATATTTGAATTACCCAACCTACCACTTATATTCCTATACACAAATGACAGTAGGATAATCATGTTTTCAAATTTCAGGGGTGTCCCTCACTATCAATTATTTTATTTTATTTTTGTCCATACGTAAATTACCACCGAGGGTTGGATAATCGTATTCCCAAAATTTAGGGGTGTCCGGGGACACCCCTAAAACACCCTGGGTCCGCCCCTGAATGAGGAGAACAAAACATGTCTATATATTAGGGGTGGGCAACCGGTTCGGTAAACCCAAACCGAAACCGAATTAATGCTATTCGGTTCGGAATTCGGAAGGAAAATATGGATAGTTCGGAAACCAGGATTCTCTCAACCGAACCGAATTTCCGAATTTCCGACCGAAAAACTGAAATACTATAATTGCAAGCTTCAAATGGTGGATTTTTATGTTTGTAGTTGTTTTTAGACTTAAATATTTGAAAAGGTTTATGGCTTATGTATTGAAAAGTTTGATTTTATCATTGATGATGCATATAATTACATATTTATTGATTATATTAGGGGTAAAAATAATTTAAAAGTGAGAAAATACAAGTAGTTTAACAAATTCGGGTTTGTGTGAAAAACAAACCGAACTGAATTATAATTCGGTTTAAATCGACCGAACCAAATTATAATTCGATTTGAGGCTTGGGAGAATTCGGAGACCCGGTATTCATAATTTCAGTTCGGTCGAAACCGAACCAACCGAATGCCCACCCCTACTATATATGTGAAATTCAGAGATTCTCAAACTAACAATATGCTCAATTACTGTTTTTGCAGCTATTTAGAGAATGAATTGACTAAATATAAGAAGATAGACAATATTCTCTAGAGATAGGAGAGAAAAAATGCTACCTAATTATCTCCTCTCCCTCTATATTCAGCTATATACAACAACTAAATTTTTACCAATTGAAAATAAAATAAGCCAACCATAATTTACAGGGTGTCATTATTCCTGTGTAATGTATACATATTTTGTCATATTGTGGAAGGCACTGATAAAGAATCAATATAGAAATTGAGGCATCACTTTGTTATGAGGGAATAAAAAATTGTGGTTCTCCAACTCATTAAGATAGAAAAATTCGGCCATCCAACCTATACCTTTCCTGTATCTTTCAGTAACTCTTTCTTAGAAGTGGGTGGAGTAATTTTGACCTTATAAATATCCGACAAATGCACATAATTAATAGATAAAAAAAAAACATCTAATTCATATCACAGTATGTGATATGTCTCCTATCTCAAAGATCATGGTTGATAGACGAATGAGAGATTGATTGATTCTTATGAACAATTTCCAATAGCAGTAACATGAATCCTCCACAAGTTAATTATTTCTTGTCACATGTTTATTGTTAAATCCCGCGGACAAGTAAGGATCCAATATTAATAACGATAAATAATACCATTAAATTGAAGCTTCAGAATATCCGAACCTGTAATCTACTGTTATTTTGTTCAGCGATATGATTTTTCCTTTCAAATCACAAATTTGTAACTTATGAAGTCTTATCTCCCACAAAAATTCATAACTAAACCCAGAACATAGAGTTTATTTGATTGATATGACTAATTAATTTTTGTGTTCTGTTTTTTTTTTCCTGTGATTATATTGGTGGCCATAAATTAAGGTAAAGTATGAAAGTACAGATGATTCCATTCTGTACTACAAATCAAGCCCAAACACCAATTTATTTTGACAAGACATGATTCCACCTTGAGTTCTGAAAATTGAAAAGACATTTTTTAACCTAGTTAGAAGAGAGAAGAAATTTTACAATTTTTTTTCACAACTGAAACACAGATAGAGTCTGAGAATAAGGACTTATGTAATTTTCAATCTCCATTCATTTCCCTTACTTCTAACTTGGGAGAAATTCCTATTGCTGCTTCTTCTTCCACTAAAATCCTAGTTCCCCAACCCTCCATAATTACCCTTTTTTCAATCCAAAACCTTCTCATTAAACCCTCTCCCTCCTTTGATTTGTTGGTCGCAATGTTCGAAACTAATTGACTTAATCAGTTCGATATGCTTCTAGACAGGGTCGAGAAGCAACTCCCGGACCTCGTCAGCTTCACCACAGACTTCGTCGTGGGGCTTCCGGGAGTAGATCTCGGTCCTCGAGGGGACGACCTCGGCGAGTCCAAACTCCGACGCAGGATCTGTCGCATGGCCGAGATCAAATGCAAGGTCGGGTCGATCGGAGTTGGCTCCGGAGACGACGAGAATTTCTTGCAGAAGTTCATGTGCCTGTTCAGAGCTTCTTCCGTGCTTATCAGTCTTTCCTCCGTTCTCACGATCTCGTCTTTCACCGCTTCGGCGCATAAGCCGCATATCCATTTGCCGTGGTACCTCTCCCGTACCCTTGCGATGTACGCCGGCGTGCATTCCTCCGTCAGGCCGCAGCAGTCGCAGCTTGCTGATTCCACTTCGGCGGTGGCGGTGGCTGCCGGCGGCGGAGGAGGTTGAGTTTCGGCTGGTGAAACTACCAATGGGTCGCTTAGCATGGTTGCCGACATTTTTTTTTTTTGGTCTCCTTAATTTCCTGTTGCCAAAAGGGAAAATCTAAACATTAGAAAAGCAAACTTGTGTATTAATTGGTACTTAGAAGTATACAAAAATTTCTCTTTGTGAAGTCAATGATCAATTGCATAACATTGATGATTACACGATTTGCCAACTATACTCTGAATTTATAGTTTTAGCCCGATCACTAAAACAGTCAAAACGTGATAAAAATTAACCTGATGAATTTGAATGTTGTGACCAACATTAACTACAAAATAAAAAATCACTAACATCATCAAGCTCAATCACGAAAAAGAGACCAACTTGCTCTGTTTCCAAATCTCCTGATATTGCTGTTGAACTATTTTTTTTTTTTTTTAGTTTGGATGGGTTTCTTAAAAGAGGAGGAACAATAGAACATGGGGGGCGATTTGGGATTACGCGTAAACATCAGATTAGGAAATCACCAGCTGGAGGATTTTGGAATCCATTGAGAAAGAGAAAGAGACAGCCTCTCCTTTCTTTTTTTTCTTCTTCTCACAGTCACATGTAATGAAGGAGCATTGGACAAAAAACAGAGCAACAGACAACACAACAACAACAAAGGAAAAAGGAGAAACATTTTCGGCAAGAAATTCGAAAGTCGTCTTCCCTGTAAACACAATTATAGAAAGGAAAGAAGAAAGAAAGAAACACGGGAAAAGGGTAATTACCTGCTAGCTAGAAACCTTCTTCTAACTCCGTGATCGGAGATTTCCCGCCGGAGGGTAAAACTCTCTGTTCTGTAGAAAGCAGAAAGCCCTCTGCTCTTGTAGTAGTAGAAAAGGGGGAAAGTAAAACTTCTTTTTAAGCCTTTTGTTTGTTTGTTTGTTTGTTTGTTTATCTCTCTTTTTCCCACTCGCCTTCTTCGCGTTTCTCTTCCGCTGCGAACAGAATCATGAAAAACACCATTTCCAAGCTACCTGCCAAAAAAAGCTCTGCACCAAACTTCCTCCCGTTCGGTTTCCTGCGGGGGAAAATTAAAGTTGCGAGCTTTTTCCCCTGCGGAGAGCTCTGTTTGAGAAAGTGAGAATTGGGTTTTGGTGGGTTTTCTGGGCTCTCTCTGTTCTCTTCTCTTCTCTTCTTTCTCTGGTTGGCGTTGTGAGGGTACTGGAGAGAGAGAGAGAGAGAGGAGTGGGGGAGAGAGAGAAGGCCAATGATTGTGGATTTAAAGGCAGGGAATCCACGTCAGCGGTTGAGCGGCGGGGAAATCGTGACCGTTCATCTACGGTTTCTGGATTGACAGCTAAGCAATTATCATTGCTCTGTGGTTGGGCTTGGGTTGTGTAGAAAATGAAACTGAAAGAAAAAGAAAGGCTGATAGAGGTTTTATTTTTCCTTTTTCTTAGCCAAATATTGGCTGTAGACTGTAGTTGTTTATATATAATCATTTTGATTCGTTAGAAGTGAATGACACATAATGATAATTAAACCTGATTAGCGTGTTTATGTAATGGTAGATGGAGAGTGTTAAGGGCTATAGAGGGAAAGAAATAGTTAATTAGTTAGGTTGTTCTTTTCTCTAATTAGCACTAATTCGGTTGGTTCCGTGTTTTTTTTTAATTTACTCTTATATTCGTCTGATTTATGGGGTATCTAATCAGTGTTGATAATTCAATTTCATTTAAGATCCAATTACTTTCTGCGTTTTCATGTAGTTTTGTTTGGCAAAATCGTAAGAATTAATGCGCGCCATTTTTTCAAATGTTAATTAATTTATTTTGTATAGAAATTAGGTTTGTATAATTTTATAGTCGAGATTGAAAATCAATGATGTTATCGCTAGATCAAACCCACAATATAATTTATCTATTTGATTATGAGTGATTGTAAATAACATTACTGTAGCTAGTTCATTGCACCTCTGTTAGCTAATTATTTGACCCTTAACAAAAATAATAAATTGTGAAGAGAAGTACCACGTGTAAGTGGAACAAACGTGTAAGGTTCAACCTAAACAACACATTTATTTCTTCCTTGCACACAATTAACAAGTTGGCACAAATTGGTTGTTAATATTTTGTTGTGACCATAATCTTATTTCTTCGTTTTGGTTTTCCATTTTTTTAAAATTCAGGGTTGTAATTTTCCTGAATTTTTATATATATTTTTCATAATAATTAGCTCATGTCTATATGTATATATGTGGTAGCATGTTCGAAGGATCTAAGGCCACAAAAAAAATTCTCATTTGGCTGAAAATGATCGTGGATATCAACTCTTTGGCCCTTCAATTCAACACCTATTTATGTATGTTTATACCCTACAAATATTAATGTAGAGAAAATCAACATGGAAAAAGCTATACCACCATTGATTCCACAAGATGAAGAGTCATAAACATGGATTAGGACTTGTATTTAATGAATCAAATTGATAATCCAAATAGTAATTGTGATGATGTCCAATGAATCAAATTGAAATGTGTAATGTAAGCAACTACTCTTGTCTATAGTCCCCACACTTTGCTAACTCTATTATTATATATCTGAAGCAAGGCCATATGCTCTTGCATGGATTCCTACATAATCCATATATGATTACGATACCATACTCAAGAGGACGAAAAAAAACTAACTCTCCATACCAATTTTCACCTAAGCAATTGATGTTACTTGGTTAGTGAATGGTTTGTAAGAGAGGAATGAACCGTTCAACTACTGCCTGACATCCTCTAACGTTCTTTGAGATTCTTTAGTATTTTGTCGGAGATTAATCCACAAGAGGGTTTCACTTCGAGTGCATTTCTTGGTGGATGATAAATAGTTGACGTTGGCGTAAGAGGCTGTTAATATCGGTCATTGCTTGCATTCAACCTTGTTCAAGGCCTCAAGAATCCATGTATAGGCATATATACCTGCCTACCGGAATTGAAGAACCTTAACTGTTCGTGATCCACTAGAACTTGATGACCTTGTTGCGCCTACAACCTATAGTTTTGATACTTTTTCCGATTAATAAATAACTTACATAATCGAGAAATCAGAAAATACAGCGTCGAAACAATCGAATCCAACCCGAAAACAACATTGAATGCATTATGCATGTCAGAAAGTATTGATCCTAATCAAGTGATTATTTTCATGCAATCCATGGACTGCAAGGTTTCTCATGATTCGTGACTAGACACAAACAAAAAGAAGGCATATATAGCAATTGTAATGGACCAAATGAATTATGTATGGAGGAAGCATTGCCAAAGCTAGAGAAAGCAAAAGGGTGTGGGGAAAAATCATCCATTGGCATCAATTGTGAAAAAGGACCCAGCCAGCCCACAAAACCCCACACATATATTGTCCTATTCATATATCTCATTTTCCCAATATTTCATTTTACATTTATAAAATATATATTCGTTTCATATGGTGGGAAAACTTATTATGAGATGAAATTTAACCCTTTTGTAATTTTTTTTTTAAAATGTACATGTAACTTTTTGGTGGGTATCACAAAAAATTAGAAAGGTTAACATGTTTGCATGCTTCATATAAAATTTCAGAGTGGAAAGCAGACTTCATTTTCACAAGCCTTCTGTTTGAGCCACGTAACCTCCCTGTCAGCGCGCTCCGCCTCCTGCACACAAAGGCGCCCACCGAACCCTCTCTGAGGGCTCGTTAGCACTCCGACGCCCAAGTCAGAACCACTTTCTAGAGAGAGAAGTCGAATGTCAGTTTAGAGAGAAGTTGGAACCTGAGTAAATGAGCTCCACCCACTTCACTATTTATACCCGAGGGTGGGTCGACCAATCCCCCCCCGAATCCGCCCTACGTCATCACCTCATTAAATGCACTGTACTTTGTTTCTCCAGGGCGCCCCGACATTCTGACACCAACCTGCCGCCTTGAGGCGCTCGGCCCCACACCTTGTCCCCTCCGTACGCTTCTGACCGTTATCCTCTTTTGTCGCCATGCGCCCCTCACCGGGCTTGGCCCCACCGCTCGGGCCTCAGTCCTTGGTCCCCTTTTTGGGCCTGGCCTCTTCCTCGGCCCAAGGTGGCCTCCTGGCTCTTTACTTGGGCCCTTTCTACTCTGCCCCCCAACAATTGCCCCCCAGTTAGGCGCCTACCGCCTGGTAGGGGCCTAACTACCAATGCGCCTCTGGCAGCGCCCCTGTCATGGTGCGCTCTTCTTGGTTTCTCGCTCCCTTCGTAGAGAGCGCCCCGCCGTCGCTCCCCCTCTGGGACACGCCCTCAGTTTTCTCCCTTCCTATTTACCGGGGCGCCTTCCTCTTCCCCGCCTTATTAAAAAAAAAATTATTTATTGTAAGCCGACTGTTGCGCTTCCGCCTTAATTACGAGCGGACCGTTGGGTTCCCGCTTTAATCACTGGACCGTTCCCCTCCCCCTAGGCTGAAGCGATTTCAAATTTCAAATTTTGAATTCGGTTCAGCTTACGTGACCTTCCGTCTCCCCTAGGCCATTGCTCTCCCCCGATCCCTGCCTATAAATTGCCCCCCTCAACTCTTTCTTCCTCACTTTCCCCAAACCGCTCTCTCTCTATTTCCTCTCTCTAGATTTCGCTCTGCTCTGCCTCCCAGTGCCTTGCACCTCTCTCGGCCAACTCTCTCGGCCAACCCTCTCGTCCATCTGACCCAGGCGCCCTATTACACTCCCGAATTCCTCCTTTTTTGCTTACATCGAAATGGCCTCCTCCAACCAGCCCGGATCTCCCAAGGCGACGCCCACCGAGGCGGCGCCTCCTAGCTCCGTGCCCCCCACTACAGCGCCTCAAGGCGCGGCGCCTGCCCCCGCGGGGCCTTCCAACACCGCGCCCCAAGCCGTGGCGCCTTCAGCTGCTCCCGCCGCCGCTCCAGGTATCCGTGCGCTTCCTCTCCTCACTTTATGCTCCTTTTAATCTTTGCGTGTTACGTCTCACGGCGGTTGCCCACGAATAGATAACTCACCCCCTTGCGCCTCTTGAGCCCCTTGCGCCTCACGTGCCATGAGCGCTTCTTTCTTCTTTACCTGATTCCACATGCGCCCTCTTCTTGACCTCCTCCTTTTCTGACTACCTAGGCACCAGCGCGCCCCGCGAGTTCGGGATAAGTCAGTGGGGCAACATGTGGCCGCCTGGGTATATACCCACGGACATCGAACAAATGTCCGAGGCGGACGCCGGGCCGCCTTACGCCTCGAAGATTCTCTACTCCCGCTTCACCTCCTTGATCCGAGCGGCCCAGATGCCTGCTGATTGGCGCTACGCGCATCCCTCGCCTGTGGCGCGCGTGGGGGTCTGTGGAGATGGCTGGGTCGGCGTGTATCAAGAGTATTTCCGCTTCGGGCTTCGGTTCCCCATCGACCCGATTTTAGAGGGCGTCCTCCATCTGTGCCAATGCTCCATCGGGCGCCTTTCCCCCGTGATTATTCTTTATACCGTCCTCTTCCGCCTCAAATGCCGTCAACACAATATTCTACCCTCCCTCAAACTATTCCAACACTTCTTTACCATCATTAGAAGTCCCAATTGCTTCAGCCTACAAAGGCGCTCCGATTTAGGGTATCATTTTATAAGCAAGGGCAAAAAGATGGGGCGCTCATGGTTCGAATCCTTTTTCTTTGTGCGCCCTCGGGACACGCCCTTCTTCGAGAACGGGGCCGCCGCCCGGACGCGGTGGGCTTTTGGGATGAAGCTGAATTTAACAAGCGCCCCGTCTTGAACGAGGCGGAGGAAAATATGGCTCGGCGCCTCTCGTCCACGCCGATAAGCCTGAAGAAGGACGACGCGTACGCCCAATACTTGGCGGAATTTTATGACGACGGTATATATAGCATTCACGTACGCCTTGGTGTCCTTTTTCTTGCGCCTTGACTGATCAATTTCTTACCTTTCTTTTCTGCAGGCACCGTTTTCACCAACATATCGGATCTTATCCGATCGAAGCTCCATCTCATCCCTCCGAAGGCGCCCCGGAAACGCGGCCGGGCAGGGAAGACCATCAAGATGCCCGCTGGGGCACCCCCGTCCGCGCCCAAGAAGCCAGTGCGGGTGAGGATCATCAACAACAACCGGCCTGCGCCTCCTGAGGGCGCAGGAGTTCCTGCTACGGAAGAGGCGCCACAACCGTCGTACAACTCTCCCCTCCTTGTGGATGAGGGGATGGGCGCCTCTACTGCCCATCACAGTCGAAGCGCCTCCCGTTCACATCACAGTCAGGGCGGCTC